GAGCTATAGTAGATAGATAACTACGACTAATTAATAGCTTAGCTTAAAGGTGGGAGTTGTGCTAAGAAGAGTTACGCCAAAGCGCCGAAATTAGCGTCAGACAGAACTTTTGAAAGGCACATCTGTATGCTGTAGACATTTCCTAACGAAACGCAATCAGTCAAAGCTCAGTAGTGCTTATGTTTTCTTAGTAGCTTTTTCTTGTAATCGGCCAGACTGTATATACGGTCGTATTTTACCTAAAGCCTCGTTTTCGATATTTCCTAACAAAAAATAATTACTCAAAGCTTAGTAGTGCTTATTTTTTATTTGAGGTTTACGAAGGTCAAGTGCACAATTCATGAGCAAGTGAATGATATAGTCTATGGAAAATGAAAGAACTACACCACATCGATTAGGATCTAGACTGCATGGAGTAGCAGCTTTACTGTAAGCGCAGTATGTTTATCTATCAAATGATCCGAAGAAGAGCCTGATTATCATTCTAGCGTCTCTACTACGCAATACCTACGCCCTTGACCGCAGTATACTGATTAATCGGTCAGTATAGCTATTTGATTTTTGGTAGTGCCTATTATTTTCTTTTGGGCGACCTTCTTCCTACCTAGTGCGCTCAACTAACTTTACGAGAGAGTTTGGGCTGGAGAGATAGTTACTATCTCTTTCTACATTACTTCTGCTTATGCTTTGGCTTGCGAGCGCGGCTCAGGATACTTAGAGTTATATTATAGCCGGCTTGGATAAGACCTGAATCTAATTAGCTCGCAAATTTGTTGATCTTCTCGTACAGTCACTTATTTCCTCCTGTCGCAGCAGATACTAGAGCTTACTAAGCTTATTTAGTACTGCGCTCTAGCTTATCTAGCTACTAACTCGAGACTTAGCTAACGGTCGTTTTTTAGCTCTTACACCTCCTAAATCAACCGAGTGGGTTTCAACTAGTGTACAAGACTAAACTGAAGGGGCGCTGCTAACGCTCAAGGAACTGCACTCAGTAAAACTCGGTAAGGAGATTTTATTGGTGGAAGATTAAGCACTTGACTAAGTAGCTACCCATCAAAGGGGCAGACGTATAAACCAGTTACCTAAGGGGGGTAATCGTCTCGTACTGCTGGTCTTTAACTACCCTCACGCAGCTAGCTATCCCAGCGTAAAGGGCCGTAGAAATAAAATGTCGCGAATTCACGAAAGCAGGGACCATGATAAACTGGAAATGCGACATGAGAAAAAAGGTTTGCAGTTGAGATATCAGGTCCAAAAAATTATAAAAAGGTCGGTATACCACATGCCCTAAGATTCAGTATCATTGTACAACTTACTACGCCTCTACTCTTATCACTATATAGACTCTATACTTGCAGATCTGCTCTTACTCCGCAGAATCGTCAAAATGCGTTTCTTTGGATCCTTAATCGTTTTAGGGGTTAGCGGTCAGCTTACTGCTACTAACCTTACGCTATAGACGACCCCCGAACTCCCTCGTGTTAGGACGGAGGCTGTTGGAGAACTTATAAATACGACGGATTTTACGACGATTGACGTTACTGAATGGGCTGTGTTCCTCGACCAGCCTCCTGAAGTGTTTGTGAGATGGGACGCTACTAACAAATATCGCATGTTCTCTCTCCTGTGAGGTGTGCTTATCAGTGAAAGAGGACCTGAGAAACGATTAGCGGACACGACTGAGTCTCAAGTGAATGCACATACCAGGTCTTTGGAGAGCAGTTATTTGACTCAGGTGGTGACGGATGAGGGGGAAGAGAAAGAGAAGCCAGGATGCATCCACAAAACTGCGTGCGTGTTGTGCGTTTCTGCAGCAGCTACTGTAGCGACAGGTCTGATTGCTACATGCGCATCGACAGCGTTTACGGCAATCCATGGAGTTTCACCTGCAGCGGGACCTGCAGCGGCAGTATTTTATACACCGATTGTTCTACAATTTATTGCATGCGCATCAAGACAGACGGCTGCTGCTCTGGGTGCGTCAGCTGGGTGCGTTAGGAAGTTTGGATAAGAAGGTTAGACCATGTGGAGTGGCGTAAGGGGGTAACGGGTGAGAGTATCGGGTGAGGGTTAGGGTTGAACATCGCCACAGGGTTGGCTGCACTACATACCATGTCTCGTTGTCAATCTTAACGTAGCTGCACTCTATATCATTATGTCTATAGTGGTAGCGAAATCCCGCGGCTGTACGCCGTCATCTTAATATTTTTGTACTCTGCTATAGTCGTTATAAAGCGTCCCTTGACGAGAGGTCCTTCTTTCGGCAATGTACAGTTGCGCTTTTGAGAGGGCCCTTTGGAAATTCCTGCTACGAAGTTTGAGGAATCGCAGCAATTTAGAATGAAAAAAAGGCGAAGACGACAACCAGGATGACCCAGGTGAATCTGACATTCCAGAGCCTGACCCGGATCTTCCTCTGGTCCCGCCGGCAGCCGAACCCATACCTCTTCTTCCCACTACTCCGGCCCCTGTTCCTAGGATGGAAACTTCAAGGTTGTCATCACTCTTCCGGAAGGCTCACACTTCGATGCCCCCGACCGAGCGTCCACACCCAGCAATGACTATCCCCTTCAAAACGCCAGTCCTAGCAATGCCATTGGAGACTCCTGTCTTCCCCAAGGACCCTAAAGCAGCGCTACTACAATAAGGGCTGCACAGGATTTTGGGCTTCATTCGTCATGGCCATCGATGCGATAAAAGCGTTCAAGCGACTAATTCTCATCGCATCATCTGCCGAGAAGCGTCACACACCAGCGATTACGTAGTGTCAGATGCTTAGCCATATGCCACTGCGCCATTGTAGTAGCCAAAAAGGTCGGGTAATCCTTTGTCGCGGACGTTCTTACCTCGGTGTAGAATTTGTAGCCAATACGTTGCCAGGCGCGGTACTTGTAGTATACTTATGCTTTCGCACACGAGCCGCCCAGATCCGCGTTTTTATCATCATATTCAAACAAGCATGCTGAGCTGACTGCTTGACACTGCTTTTCTCGAAGTACACAGCTGGCACACTCAGTGAAATCTCAAGTGCAAACAAAGAGTGCAACACGCAATGGTATTGCAATCTTGGTATCTCACCTGATGAGCAACTGATCTTGTTTTTCATTAGAGATAGTAAAGGGCCCAAGAAGTGGGAATCCGAAGGGACCTGAGATCCCACCAAACAGAACATGAAGCTCAACTTGTGTTTATGCGTAAGCGGCGGTGTGGGAGGCTGGCGAGAAAGTGTTCATTTGCGGAGGATGTGTGGCCGGGTATCCTAAACAAGTACGAGCCTTGTACCGGCTCGTGCGACCCTTTGAGTTTAGTTATCGGACCTTTTAGGGCTGGCGACTGCCGAATTTAGCCTGCGGTATTACTAGTTAATTTACAAGCATTGCCAACCCGTATCATTTTGGGAAAAGCACCGAATTTCAAATGGAACAATCCAAACAAGTTTCAAGGATGGTGCTGGGGGATGGGCGGTTTCTAGAAGGACGTGAATGTCTTCCATGTATTTACTGCCTCGGATATGGACCACCCTTATCCCATCGAGGACTAGATCCACGTCTTACCACATCATCCGTCCACTTGGTGATTGGTTAGATATTGTCCGTTCAATCCGTCAACGGTAAACACGGGCGTACAGCGATATTACAACGGCGCTTCTCTAACACTAAGCTTGAGTTGCCTTACTTTTATAAAAGGATAGAGTTGGCCCGACTATGTCCACCACTGCACTTGTCGCACCACACTTGTTAATCACCAGTCTAATTTTTTTCTTGCTCTAATCCCAACAATCTACACTCAAGATGCGCGTCGCTCTTCTCGCTGCCATCATTCCAGTGGCCATCGCTGGTTGGAACCCCAAAGCGTGCAATGGAGCCGGAGGCTGCACCCAAGTTGGCTATGCCAACTCAGACCCCTTCGTTTGCCCCGATGGCAGCAGGTTGAACATGCCTACGTTTGCGAGTGATAACTTGGACGCCGGAGATGGAAACGGCATTCCTGTGACGAAAGACGACTTCCCCAAGTCGTGCACCAGCGGCGCTGTCCCCCCTGCCGACGCTACCTTCTTCGTAAGTAGAGCCTTATCTCTCATCTTTCAGAAATGGTAGTCGACACCAAGATTACTTAGTACTAACCCCCGCTAGAAAATCCAGTCGAGCAACAACCAAACCATGTTCTTCTTTAATACGATCACGTGTGATACCCCTAACCCGGAGCCTATGAATTGTTATGACAAGAACCCAAACCCATCTGTGTAAGTTATTGATCAAGCTTCTCCGAGTATCGCTAGCATACTAACTGTTACAAAGCCAAACATTCTGCGCCATGTATGATCCCAAGGGCGGCTTGTGCAAGGAGAACCCCGCGGCTGGATACTGCGAGCGTTGGGGATACTCAACTGTCAACCCTCAGTGCGCCTTCTATAAGCCAGGTGGCCCAGATCTCCCCAACACCGAGTCATAATTTCGCTAGTATAGCTTCTTGTATATATTATTTACACTAGCTGAAGGCACGTTCGTGGTGATACGACGCCTTAGACAGGGTGAAATAATGAAATATAACATGAAATTTTTTCACTGTGTCATGCTGATTCGTATTGAGAAATGATTGTGACTCTAATCCCGATCGCTGCGAGAACTTTGGAAAGAAATTGAAATATCCAGCATTCCAAGTAGAGCAAAGGTACAGTGCAAGCATGAGATCCCTTACTCATTGAACATTAATCAAGGGAGTAGCTGTCATCCTTGTCAACTCATTGCGATATTGCTCCTTGTTGCGAGTGCGTGGCGGTAAATAAACGTATTTATGGTAGGTTCACATCACCAATATGACATGATAGTGAACTGCTTGAGTGCAGATGGCTGCGCCTGTGACGTGCCATGCGGGAATGCCCCCTCTATTAAATCTATCGAGGCTCTACTTATTTCATCGTTGTAAGACGAATTATCTATGACCAGCGGCTGATAGTAATACAGTATGCAGAGAATGAAGTGTCTTTTTAGCAAGGAAAAATCATATACGCAAAACCTTTCAAATCGGGGGTTTTGCCTCGCCTGGCGCATAATCTTGCGCAATCTTGACAGCGCCTGGGCTAGGCTTGGGGTATGTCGTTCGCCTCTTTGCGCGCACGTAAAAGTTCATCGGACGAATCAGCTGGAACTCTGGGTCGTATGTGACTGCATCATCGCCCTCCTTGAAGAACTCGTACCGGTATACGAGTTCTGGCAGGATTACCTTGACTTCTCCGAGTGCAAAGTTGAAGCCGATGCAGCTCCGGGGGCCGGTTGCGAAAGGCATGTATGAGTTCTTTGGTCGGTTGGCTACTTCTTCAGTGCCCCAGCGGTCTGGATCAAAGCGGTCTGGATTTGACCAGATGCTGGGGTTGTTGTGAATAGCGTGCAGGGCACAGATGACTACGGATCCAGCAGCAAGCTTGTAACCACCTGGCACAATGCAGTCGACCTTGACCGTGCGCCCCGGTTGGAAGGATGGGTTGTGTAAACGTTGGGTCTCTTTGACGAATTTGTCGAGGAAGGTAAGGCCATCGGAGAGTTCTGGCGTCCATTTGGTGTTTTCGTTGACGCCAGCATCGACAAGCTCCTGCAGCAGTCGTTCTTGATTTCCCGGGTACACGCACAGCGCATAGAGGAGCCATGAGAGGAGTGAAGAGGTCGTCGTGAAGCCAGCACCTGCTATTGGTAGCATGTTCGGAATGACAAGGTCACGTGGTAGCTTGTTGCCTTGGTCATCGGTGGCACGCTTGAGATAGTCTACCACGCAGCTTGCTCCGAGGGCGGCTGAGTGCAGAGGCAAATCATCTTCGGTATCGCCTTTGGGTGCATTGTCAATAGCCGTGTTCATAATGTTCCACAGCTTGGTGCGGATGTGGTGGAGGTACCAAGGGTCCGTGAAGGGTACAGCGCTCAACTTGGAGTACCAAGCACCTCGTGACATGACCTTCTTGTTGAGGGATAATGAGTATGCGATCAAGATGACCAATTCGTTAAGAGGCGAGTCTGGTGTATCGAAGTGATGGGAATCGTAACCAAGTGCAAACTTGAACACTGTCTGGGATGCCAGCTTCAGCATATACTGGTATGCGTTCCAGGCTTCGCCTTGCTCGTCCAGCTGATCGAAGACCTTGAAAGAGTCTTTGACAGAAGCTTCCATGAGGGGTGTATAATGCCTGATGGCCTTTGGAGCCATGGAGGGTGGGATGAACTTGTGCGCTGCTCTCCACGCCTCAGTATCGGTGTCGCAAACGAACAACGCCCTGTTATCCTTGATGCCGGCCAGAGGATGGTCTGGTGTAATGAGCTTGCTGAAGAACGCTGACTCTTGGAAAGCGACTGTTGCAACAGCGGGGTCGTTGGTCAAGTAGTTCATTTTGCCCATTGAGTCGTACTTGATGATTGGCCCATATTTCTGGAACAAGCGAGCGTGGTTTCCCTAGGGAGGGTCAGTTGTGCTGTGGGTATGGACAGCAGCCGACTTACCAGATGGTCAGGAAAGACCTCATAGTAGCTGCCTACGAAAGGAAGACCGTCGGGACCAGCAGGATCTCTGATAGCCTGGCCGTCCACTGTAATGCCAAGATCTTCTTCGCAGTCGAGGACAGCGTCCAAGTCTGGCAAATCGATTCCTTTGGCATCTTGCAGGGCAATACCTAAGCAACGGCAGATTAGCCGATGTACGGGCGAGCAAGAAAAGGGTTAAAACATTTGCTTACCGGTTGGTTGGATGATGTTATATTGTTCAGCTATGGCAATTTGTAGAGACTCAAAGTCGTGACACTGGTCAATAGGGATGTCTTGGCGGTAGACGTCTTTGTCTTGCCCGACAAGGTAGAAGCCTTTGAGCGTCATTTTGTGCAGTGGTTGCAGAGTAAGGCAGGTGTGAATCAAGTCCAAGGCTGGGCCAGAGCAGCAGCAAGGCGACGAGGAATTAATATCGTAATTCCACCCTTCCCCTTGGACGGCGACAGTGGTGGGACACGTCCATATCATCGACCAAGAGAGTGGCTAGCCCGATAATGTGACGCAGGGCCACCCACCAGCACACCAATTCGCATCTTGCAGGGCATGAACCGAGGCATCTTTGCAAAAAGCGTAGTCGTAATGAAGGTCGTGCGAGCAGTCCGGCCGAACCCTTTTCTTTGCAGGTTCTGTGCAGGCCAGGGGTGTCGGAGATAAATGCGTGTGCGCCACGAGGATGCCGATCACTGCGATGCGGGTCTGATTAACGACGGCGCTGCCATTGGCTGGGACGACGAGGAGCCTCGGCAAGTGGGGGCCGTCCGTCTCCACTTGCAACGGCCAACGGTGCCTCCGACCTTGGGCTGCCGTCATAGCGCTTTGAAATTTGCATGCCAACACTGCAATTGTGATCTGTGCATGTGCAAAGGCCATGGCCGATCCACTCTCCTCGTGCGACGCCATGGCGACGGTGATGGCGAAGCGGGCCAGCGTCGAGAAAAAGGTCTCGTTGTCGCAGCCTCATCTCTGACGACCAAGAGCACCGCATCTCTTCACACTCCAGCACATCCGCCAACATGGCCGACGCCGTATACACGCTCGCAGAGGTAGCCAAGCACAACACCAAGAATGACCTCTGGCTCACTCTCTGGAACTACGTCTACGATGTGACCGACTACCAAGAAGAACACCCCGGCGGCAAAGAGTTTCTTCTCGAGAACGCCGGAGGGGATGCGACGACCGCATACGAAGACATTGGCCATTCTACCGACGCAAGAGAAATCCTCGAGAACTATCGAATCGGTCGCCTTGCCGATGATGACTGGACCGACCACGAAGCAAACAGAATGCCAGTCATCAAGCCAAACAAAGTCTTTGTCGTCAACAAACTCCCTGCACCCAAGTCGAGTCTCGCTCAATTACCGACCATGGGGCTCGGACTGGCCTCGATCATTCTGTCCTACGCTTACGGCCACAAGGTCACTCCGTACTTGCGCCATCTCCAAAGTAGCGGCTTCTGGAAAGGGTTTGCAGTCTCTTCCATTGCCAGCATGGCTCTCGTGGGCTATGCCGGCGTTTGGGCCACCAAAAGCTTCGATGTTGCACATATGGATTTCAGGGCGTATCCCGCGCATTACAGGGCAAAGTCTACGGCGTCAAAACCGACCAAGAAGAAGGACATCAATCTTGGTGTCCTCAACGCCCGCGTCTACCAGCCGTTTCCGCTGATCGAGAAGACGAATGTTTCCCATGACACCGTTCGCTTCGTTTTTGGTCTTCCTAGCGAAAACTCTATCCTTGGCCTACCCACTGGCCAGCACGTCGCCATCAGGCATGAGGTTGATGGCAAACAGATTACCCGATCATATACGCCAACTTCCAGCAATCAAGACCTAGGCCGACTGGAATTGACAATCAAGATATACGAAGATGGAAAGTTAACACCATGGCTTAACAAGCTGAAGACTGGAGACATGGTTGAGATTCGAGGCCCCAAGGGCGAGATGAAATATCACAAGAACCTCGTCAAGGAACTTGGAATGATCGCCGGCGGTACTGGCATCACGCCCATGCTCCAAATCATTAGACGCATCTGCGAAGACCCGCGCGATCACACCAAGGTCACGCTGTTGTTCGCCAACAAAACTGAAGCCGACATCTTGCTCAAGGATCAGCTGGACCGATTCGCCAAGGAGAACAACCAATTCAGTGTGCACTATATTCTCAGCAACCCTTCGGGTACTTGGCAAGGCGCAAGAGGCCGTATCAGTAAGGAGCTGATTGAGCAGCATATGCCTGCACCAGCCGGTGGGGATAGCAAGGTCCTTTTATGTGGTCCCGACCCGATGGTAGACTCCATGTCCAAGCACCTGCAAGAACGTGGCTTCAAAGCACCAGGTAAGACATGACTTCATTGTGAAAACCTTGCACACTGAGCTAACGCATATCTATAGGCTCCATCTCGAAACCTCAAGACGAGATTTTCATCTTCTAAGCAGACCTGGATTCTTTTAAATTCTTAGTCTTCTATTCTTCCATCGCCATACACAATGGCCGGGACATCTAGGGTAAAGAGGTAACTTGGAGCGCCTGGAACTTGGGAATACCATATAGACGTGTATCATACATAATCAGTAAGGCGTTCGTATTTCATAGCATGGGCGCGTTATTTCTGATCCAATAGCCATTTTGAAAGTGTTGTACTGGTTCAGAACCTATACGAAATGTTGGATTTGGTCACCCGTACCCATTCTGGCACTTGTATACCTTGGTGGCGACGAAAAAGACATCGATGCGTAGTTCGTTTATCTGAGAGCCCATCCGCACGTGATGTACATATCTTTTATTCCAGTGGGTTCAGAAAGCTTCTAAATAGTGGTGTACACTTTTTGCTCTACTAAAATTGGTCGCAATAGCAACCTTCTCTTGCTTCCTGTTCATGGAAAATGTGGTATTTTCTACCAGCGAGATAGGCGCCTGTACGTATACTATTGCATCATTGCCATGGAATGCTGTGGGACTGGATCTAGTGACATCATTTGAGAACGACTGCTTCCAAACGCTTAGGTTTTTCTTTTTCTCTCTCCCGAGCATGATCTGCATCGACTATGTAGTAACAATGTACAAGTCCACGAACAAATGTCGGTAACTGAATAGCAAGAAGCAATCGCCGACCGGAATCCGGCATGCCCGAAACGCGGTGCCGTAAACCAGAGGCCCGAGCTTTTCGGTCGCAGTTGGCATTCACAAGAGCAAATAGTGGCAGACTACCCGTTCCGCGACGCAGCTCGTCACGACGTATAATAACCCTCTCCTTGGGCCCAATTGCTCCCACAGATACTCACCTGCCCTCCAGTATCGCGTCCCCCTCCCTCCCGTCTCCCTCACCGTCACCATGAACACCATCTCCCCGCCCCCGCAAATAAAACGGCTCTCGGGCCCCAAGCGCATTCTCGGTATCCTCGTCGGCATCACAGGCGGCTTGGGCGCAAACGCCCTGCTAGCATACAGCGTATCCTCCTTCTACACCCGCAACACCAAATTCGTGCCCTTTGACACCTCTGCGCCGGACCTCACGACCAAGACGTTCCGCGACCACAACCCGCTCAACAACCCGCCTGCTTGCATAGACCACGCCATCAAGCAAGTCCCGTACGGAAAGTTGCCGGAGAAGTACTGGGTCAAGGGCAGCGGGGGACGCATATCCGTGGACCAGAAAGCGCTGGCGACGGATTTCTGTAGGGGCATCTGGAGTGGAGTCGCATTTCGCGTCCAGAGGCGGATCCTGGAGAGAAAATATCGCGCGCTTGAGGGCAGGCAGGATCATCTGTGGGATGTCAAGGATTTGGAGAAGGGTACTTATCCCGTCGGAACCAAGATCGTGGATCACTTCGAGGTTGTAGAACATGCAGATGACAAGGTATTATTCTTGACTGTCTAGCGTCAGCAAGTGTAGCATGCTAATCAAGCGGGGCGGGCCCAGGTTATTGTGCGATGTGGTGATTCGCCGCTGAACCGAAACCAGCGACCCTCGGACGGTCTCTTCTCCATGGAAGTGTCAAAAGACGACGAGGCTCAGATGGCCACTTTTCACCTCAAGTCCGTTTTTGTAGATACTTCGCCAGAGGGTAAGGGCAGCCAGCCTCAGCCGGCACCCCTCCAGGCGGCGCATCGTTGGTACACTAAGCTGTGGATGGAGAGCGCAACACGCAAGTTGATCAAGGAAGCGTAAATCACTCGTGCCCGAATTTGAAGGACATTGTAGTCGTGTGCAAGATGTGGGTGACGATTGGTCGTTGAACAATCATGTCACTAGCGGAGGGCTAGTCTATACAGACGCTTGTCGACTTGTTGTATATACTTTCTATATACCCTCCTCGCGCTGCTTGGGTTGACAAATAACAGAAGCAAGATTTCGACTCAATGTAAACTCGGGTTAACGTTGCTTGCAGAATTAATTCCTCTTTGGTACGAGATCATATTGTTGCAGCACCAAAGCTCAAGTTAATCTAGAGCAACCCAAGTGGGCTTCCTGTACCAGCTAAAGGCTGAACTTTATTCAAAAAAAACACGCCACTACATTCAGCTCCTGAACAGCATCAGGCCAGCTTCCTCTGCGTCCATTTGCTCTTCCTCTTCACTCTCAACCTCATCATGCTCCCCAAGACCCAGCCTCTGTCCAAATAGACTGCTGAATAGCTCATCTCTCTGTCGATCGCCCCATTCGCCCCTGTCTTCTGGCGCCATGAAATTCTGCAGCTTCTCTTGGACAGTGTACCGGAGCTTGCGCCCCTTGCTGGCCTTTGTGTCGACGACTTTCTTGGTCTTGGCTTCACGGGCAACCTGCCACGGCGCCTGTACAACGAATTCTGCCGTTCCATTGGCATTGAGGTCGGCAGAGCGCTGCTCGAGAAGCTCTTTGAGCATCAGACCGTAGAAATCAGCATCATCGTAAATGGCGGGGTCAGGCTGCGCGGCTTTGTTGGATGATTGAAGGGGTGCACATGAGCGGGGCACTTGTGTGCGAGTGACAAGATGGGAAGATGTAAGCTGCGAGTCAAGAACTTCGGTGAGGGTTTGTTGTGCAGAAGCGTTGAGACGAGCCTTGTTGTTGGTTACGGTCGTGGCTTTCGTCTTGTTTGACCACCTCTCAAGAATCGCTTTGCGGTGTGGCAGAGTGCCCTTTTCTGTGTCTTCGATAGTAGACCAGATCTCAGATGACGGGGTCGCATGGTCGAAATTGGTGCGCTTCCGCTTTTGCCCTGTTCGCGACTCTTCCAAAGATAACCGGAGGTTTGTAAGATTGTTTAGCAGTGTCAAGGCTGGAGCCTCTGCAGCCTCGACCGGTGCTTCTTGAGTGGTTTCATCTCTGTATGGCTCTGCAGCCATGGAGTTGGTGCTAATCAATGCTTTCTGTAATCGGATGCGGGAGTTGAGTAATGTGTCAAAAGTCTTGCGCTGTGTCTTGACGGCCTCTCCTTTGGCAACATCGGACTGGGTGCCGGCAGCAATTGTTGATGTAAAAGACTTGCTTGCAGCCATGAGATCGCGTACGGCAGATGCATCGGGCTTTTTATCTTTGCCTGGTTTGTCATCGTCCGAAGCTTCGGAGTCCTCTTCGTCCTCTTCGTCGCCGCTGACACCCTCGGCAGAGCTTCCCATCTCTTCGTCTTCATCACTCATGTCCAAATCCAAACCACCGTCGGCGTCACTTCCACCACTCTCGTCTTCACTATCAAGCTCGGCACCATTGATGTCGTCTTCTCCCTCCTCATCACTAGCTTCGCTATCTTGGTCGTCAAAACCTCTGGCAAACGGATCGTCGCTGTCGCTGTCCTCGAGAGTCTTGCGGTCTACTTTGCGCCCGGTATACTCCGGTCCGAGGGGTACCTCGACTGGCTTGCGCAGCTTGCTCTTTCCTACAGCTGTGTAGTGCTCGCGCCCAACTTTTTCGTCTTCGACGTCTGAGACATCGCTACCGGAACGCTCGTCCTCGCTGGAGCTGGGCGCAGGGTCGAGTAGGGACTCAGGGTCGAAGTCTGATGTATTTGTTAGCATTCTTCCCATAGCGCGACCATCGAGAGCCTTTACCTCTAGTCTTGGATTTCTTCATGCTGTCAATGTCGGGTTATCGTGTTCTTGGTTACATGCGCACGCGAAGAGAAAGTTCCCTCTACGCCCCACAAAAAAGTCAAAAGATGTCGGCGTTTCATTTTGCCGATGCGCGTCACCTCCGCTACCAACTCCGCAACTACTCGTGTTCCATGCCAAAATCATGTTGAAGCCACGGCTCTTTTCAACATTGCGGTGCTTGCAGCATGAGAACCCCCTCGTATGTTGTGGTAAATATGTAGGCGGGCGCAGTGGCTGATGTTTGGCGCAGGGCCTTCCGCGCTCCGGTGCGCCGCCGCAAATGCCTCGGATGCAACGAGGATTACCACAGAAGCGGAGTATCAAGGATGTGAAAAAAGTGGTTGCTGTTTCATCCGCAAAGGGTGGTGTTGGAAAAAGCACTATTGCCGGTATGCTGGACCAATGTCCACGCCATAGCCGACGACCACGACGCTAAAGCCATGTTTTAGTGAACTTGGCCTTGAGTTTTGCGCGGCGTGGTTACAGAGCTGGTATATTGGATACTGATATATTCGGCCCATCCATACCCACCTTGCTCAATCTAGCTGGCGAACCTCGACTGTCTACCAGTCAGTCCTGAGCGCGCCCCATCACACCAACACGTCCTGACTTTGCATACTAGACAATCAGCTTATACCCCTCTCTAACTATGGTCTCAAGTCCATGTCCATGGGTTACCTCATCCCAGAGTCCTCACCGGTAGCATGGCGTGGCCTGATGGTCATGAAGGCTATGCAGCAACTGCTCCATGAAGTTGAGTGGGGCGGTCTGGACATCCTGGTCCTTGACATGCCACCTGGGACTGGAGATGTGCAACTCACCATCACCCAGCAACTGATATTAGACGGTGCTGTCATTGTCTCTACACCTCAAGACCTATCTCTCAAGGATGCCGCAAAGGGTATCGAGCTGTTTCGGAAAGTCGATGTGAAGCTGCTGGGCCTTGTGTGCAACATGGCGGGCTTCAAGTGCCCAGGATGTGGAAATGTACATGAGGTATTTGGCAGCATGGAGAACATCAGGGACATGTGCAGCAAGTACGATTTGAACATGCTGGGCGAAATTCCCTTGCACGGCAGCATTAGCGAGAATGCGGATCGAGGTAAGCCCACTGTCGTGTCTGAGCCTGATGGAGAGCGAGCAATGGCTTTTAGCAGGATTGCCCAAGAGGTGGAGTCGTTGATTGGCTTGCAAAGATAAGTCACTATCTCGGCTTGATCCATTTGATGATGGATCCTGAATCGATCTGAAGATGTGCGAACAGTAAAATAAAGGCGTTCATTCATCTCTTATATTGTGATAGAGTTTGACAAGGTTTTTATCTAATGGCCCCCTCCCTTTTATAGTCTTGGCTTTCTAACACCGTGAGAGGGTGGGGGAAAAGACACAACATGAGATTCACATGTATCGCAAACATTTAGTCAGCAAAGGTGTCGCAAGGTACTTGCGACATGCATACTGACATACATAAATGACCGAAAGTTTATGAACGCACAGATGTTTGTATATCCTTACTGTACACCGGACTTACAGATGACGTGGGGCTCGACATATGTAGTAGGATCATCCGGTTACAGCCGTTGGCTTTTTCCAAGCTGCGCTGCATGATTCTTGGTAAGCATGTGAATTGGCTATTTTCTTAGAGTCTCTCATTCCGCTGCACACGTAATCCAAGTTGTCGTCATTGTTCAATATGAAATGATCGCTATGCTATTCTTCTTCCAACTCCAGCACCATGGTTCTCATATGTAGATCTGTTTTTCTCGCATTTTAGAATTGGACGCAATATGCGTGGTATGGGCAGATAGAACGACGTATAATGGCAGTTGGTGATGGGAAAAGACTACACAAAGAGCCTGTTAAGTAACGAGCGAGACAGTTACAAATGGGTGTGTTGGTACGAAAATGATGCCAACACGAGGATTGGTATGGGCAGAGTACAGCAAACCTACGTGCAAGTATACGTATGATTTCGAGACTGTTGTGGTATAATATTCGATTGCAGCCGTAGTCATTTACCGAAATTCTTACCGGAATTCTCACTGGGCGGAGGGTTGCGCGAAGTGATGAGGGTTATTTGGCACGAGGATGCTCTGGTGTTGTCCATCGGATCCGTCTGGTGAGTACTTACACTCTTGGGGAACTAAAATAGTAGCCGGATAAAAACTGCGTACGCCAACTACTAGTACGTATCCGCCCAAGTCACAGCAAAGGCCACCACAAACAGCGCTATAAAATCTACCAAAGTACTCAAAATGTTACTAAGTGTAGTACTAGTATTCGTATACTCGATTCTTCAAGCTACGCAATGCGCAGTGTTAGCGTTATTAAGGAGTTGCGCTGTGGTGGTCGGATCACTTTTCACCCGGCTGATTCAGTACACGCCTAGATGTTAGAGATGACTATCCTGGGTTAGCGCCTCATTCACGTGACCTGAACTAAGATACACCTCGACACCACGACCACCCGAAACAGAAGAACCAAGACCGAACAGAAACTAGGACAGAGCAGCTGAAGCGGCTGATCAGCGATGATTATATCTTTGAGGGATCCAGGGATTCGTGGGATTTCCACTTGAAGATGTAGCAAAGGATGATTCGAGCTACAGTGCTTAGTATGCCCCCCTGTAGCTTTCTAGTACGTAGGTTACCAGTCAGTAGTACACGTATCAAGACCGGGGGACGGGTGCTTTACACTCGAGGATATCATGGCCAGTGGAGGGGGACTTGTAACCAAGTTCAAGTCGGGTGGCCTCGCGATAGGCTGGGGCTAGATTGACTAGTATCCAGGCAGGTTTGGTGGAGCTTGTTCCTGACTACGGCACGGGGGTGGATCTGCAGGACGCGTAAGTATAACGATACAAGGCGGGCATTCTAGTGGGCGCGATGCAAAGTGCGACAGGTTCATGCAGTCGATGATATGCGACGTGTAGGCCTGTGAATGGCCAGGAAAAAGGCAGAGAGGGTGGTTTGGTTCTCTCCGGCTGTCAGGTAGCTGTCCGTGTGTCTGCAGCACGGCCATGACTATGACTAGCATGACGACAAGTTTGGTCGAGCTGCATGCTCTTCTGTCCACTGCTGCCATCCATTCACCAACACCGTCGCTCGCTCCACCCTCTGGGCATCGCACACTCACCCGCCCGCTCTACTCTGCTCGTCTGAAGCCTGTCGCCCGTACCGCGCACTGATCAGTCCCGGCCCCTGAGCCGCATCTGCGCCGCATGGAGAACGCTGGGCCGGAAAGCCTGCCAACCGGGAGTCCGCAGCCAAAAAAGCTGCCCGCACCTTCAACCCCGACATCGTCAGTCCGGCGCAAGATGGCGTCCCATGGCCCGTCGCCCGCCTCCAAAGATGGCGCTGCTCCTCGCCGGCCCACCGTCTCCAGCACTACCACTGCCACTACAGCTGCTGCTCGCCGGCCGGCAGCCCCAGCTCAAACCACGGCGACGCGCACCTCGACGAGCGCTGTCAAGCCCCCCGCAACCTCCACCGCCCGCACCAGTGCCATAGGAGGATCCAGCCTCAGCAAGCCCGCCACGCGTCCGGCCCCCGGTACTACTGCGCGTAGGACAATTTCGTCGTCCAAGACAGCCTCGGACCAGGACCCAGAGCTGTCGTCAGTGACATCGGGAGAGGAGAGCAAGAAGAAGCCGCCTGTGCGCAAGCCGCTTGTCGCGTCTGCTGCAGCTGCTCGACCGTCTCCAGGAAAGCCAGCATCCAGGCCCTCGCTCTCGTCTTCGGCTGCGACTGCGACAGCCTCCGCAAAGCGGCCCTCGACAACGCGCGCTGCTGCAGACACAGCAACAACTCGTGCCCCCCGTGCTTCCCTCGGTCCCTCAGCTCGGCCGCCGAGCACACGCCCTACTGCTGCTGCCCCTACTGCCACTGCTGCCGCCGCTGCACGCACGACAGCTACTGGTCAAAAGGCGCTTGCTGGACAGGCCAAGAAGCTATCTGTCCCTACCTCTGCCCCTCCCCCGCCAGGAGTCTCTGAACCGGAGGACACAGTGGAAGAAACGTACAACCCTCTCTCTTTGATGCCCCCCCGTATACTGCATGCTAACCCCTTTACGTAGAGAAAGCCTCGTTGCCTCCACCATTAGCCGCAATGCCGCCTCCGATGCAGAAGTTGAGGTGCGCAAATCTGCCCTTGGACCCGTCAAAGCCGCCCTGGCGAAATTCGGCGAGAGTTCACCCCGACCGGATACCGCGCCGACGGGCTCTGCCGAGATGGATGTGGAGATGAAAAGGCGGAGCGCCCAGATCATGCAGGACTTCTTCAAGGAAACCAGCCTTCGCGATAAGCTGCAGGAACAGTGCGACGACCTCAGCCGTGAGGTGGACAATCTACAACTGGAGAAAACCAAGCTACGAAGCCAGCTAGCCGAAGCGCAGGCAGCCATCACCGAGAAGGACAAGCTCATTGCAAACGGCTCCAATGCCGCCTCGTCTTCTGAGCAAAGCGCCCACGAGACCCTAGTCCAAGACATGGAGAAGAAGTTTGCCATAGAGACCAAGCAGCTCGAAGAACAGAGCCAGCAGCTGGAGGCGGAGAAGAAGGCAGCCCAGGAGAGAGAGGCCGCCGAAGCTGCCAAGGCACTCGAACTACAGCAGGTGCTAGACGACTTGAATGCTGAGCTTGAGCAGCAGGGCCGCCAATGGGACGAGGAAAAGAAGAAACTGGTCGAGCAAGCCACCCAGATCGAACAGCTTACCCAGGAAGTGGCGACGTTGAAGGATGAACGCGACAAGCTCTCGCAGGAACTCGATATTGCCAAGAAGACGCTGGAAAATCTGGAAACCAAGTTTGCCGAGCTTGAGCAGAGCCAGGCGGATAACCTTCGTTCGCGCGATGCTAAGATCATCGAGCTTACCAAGACCGTCGATGAATACATGGCCCAGGTGACAAGCAGAGAGGAACAGCACAAGGAGGCTTTGCAAGAAGCACAGCAATCCCTCGAGTCCAAAGCTTCCGAGCATTTGGCGCTTGTCGAGCAACTGCAGACTGAGCTTCAAACAATCCACCAGCAACACACTGATGAATTACATGCAAAGGAGCAGATAATTGCCACACACGTTGAAACCCAGAAGCAACTCCAGGACGACCTGACCAAGCTGCAACAGCGTGCAGATCAGACCTCAGCAGATCTTGAGAGCGAGCGCAATCAATATGCTGAACAACTGCAAGCCAAGATTGACGAGCTTCAGAAGATTACGGCCGACCAGCTGCGAGCAAAGGAAGAAGAGCTATCAGGACATGTCAAGTCTATTGAGGATCTTCAGGAGCAGATTGTGGCGCTTCAACAAGGGTCAACCGACGGTGCCCAGATTGCTGAGAAGCTTAACAAGGAAATTGAGGAGCTGAAGAATGCACATGATGCCGCTATCAAGATCAAGACGGAGGAAAACGACGAACTTGCGCAGAAAATAGATGCTTTGAACAATCAGCTTACCGCCCAGACCGCCGAAATGGAGCAACTTAGAGCGGAGGCTGCTGGCTTGCGAAATACCATTGATACACTCGAGACGGCTTCACAGCAGCTGGACTCGCAACACGCTTCCGAGATTGCAAAAATCCAAACTAACTTGGACGAAGCTAACAAGAAATCTGATGGTTACAAGTCTGAGCTTGACGCACTACACGAGAGACACAAGCAAGACTTGCGTGTCATTGGCGAAGATTACGAGCGCGAGATCGAATCCCTGAGAGCGGATCTGGAAGGAGATGCCACAAGACGGTTGAACACTTTGCAGGCCAACTTCGATTCTCTTGTTGCTGAGAAGAATGGAAACTCCGAGCAACACGAGAAAGCACTTTCCGAGCGATCTCAAGAAATCGAGGCTCTCAAGCAGGAGATCAATGACCTTCGAGACAGCTCTACCTCTGCAACCCGCAACTGCGATGACGCTCTCGCGAAGCTCAAGCACACTGAAGACGAACTAGCCGCTCTGAAAGAAGCCCACAGCATTTCGCAGGGATTGGTCGTGGATCTCCAAGCACGCATTGATACCATGAGCAAGGACCTTGCCACTGGCGGAGATCTACAGGCCAAGCTGGACGCGTTACAAGAAGAGAAAGATGCTACGGCAGATGCTCACGCCAAGTCTCAGTCTATCATTGTTGACTTGCAAGCCCGCCACGACTCCTTGTTGGAAGAGAAGACACTCGCAGAGGATTCTCATGCTCGTGCCATTGAATCCCTCAAGCAAGGCTCTGAAAGCGAGTCAAAGCAGTTGCTTGCAGAGCTCCAATCAAAGTATGACGCTCTCCTTCAAGAGAAGAAATCAGCCGAAGATGAGCACCGCTCTGCCGTTGAAACTTTGAAGCAAGAATTCGAAGGTAATTTGAGGCACTCCCTTGAGGAACTCGAGTCTAAGTACAATTTGCTGGCGGAGGAGAAGGGCGCAATGGAAACTGCGCACAAGGATGCTCTGGAGGCCTCTAAATCACAGACAGAAAGCGCATCTAAGCAACTGCTGGACGACCTCCAAGCTAAGTATGACACACTGCTTGAAGAGAAGACTACTATGGAAGACACCCACTTGCAGACGCTACGAGCTTTGGAAGCTGATTCAGAGCAATCTACCAAGTCAGCCCTGGCGGAGCTTCAATCCAAGTACGACACACTGGCGCAAGAGAAGGCTGCTGCCGATCTTGAGCACAGTCGTACCATCGCAACGCTCAAAGAAGAGGCCGACACTACATCGAAACAGCTCCTTGATGAGCTACAAGCCAAGTATGACAAGCTCCAGGTAGACTTGAAGACAACTTCGGAGGCTTTGAGTAATCTCCAGACGAGATACGAAGTTGTCACTCAAGAGCGAGGTAGCGACGATGAGGCCCAAAAGGCAGAAATCCAGAACCTCCAGAGCCAACGAGATGATCTATCTACACGACTCGCAGAGCTTGAGAAGTCTCATGCAGACAGCCTTGCTAAACAGCTGGCAATAGAGGAAAGTCATGCCAAGGCGCTTGAGACTCAGCACGTGGAAATCGAGCAGAAATACGCCGCTTTGCTGGAAATTATGCAAAACGACACCGAGCGATTGGAACAAGAAAGGGCAGCAGCGATTGCAGGCAGGCAAACTGCGCTTAATGAGCTCGCATCCCTAAAGGAGCAGTCCGGTTCGTCGGCGAACGCTGAAATTGCAAGCAAGTACGAAGCTCTGCTGGCGGAGAAGACCGCTGCCGACAAAGAACATGAGGATGCTGTTGCCTTACTCAAAGACTCTCTGAAAGCAGATTACGAGCAGGCTCTATCCAAGCTGCAGTCGGAGTGTGATAAGTTGCAACGAAGGATTGCAGAGACGGACCAAGCACACAGTGACGCGATGGAGTTGTTGAAAGAGGAATTCAAAGCTGGCCATTCGAACGACATGCAAGCTCTGCGGCAGCAGCTTGAAGCTGTGCAGAAACAGCATCGAGACCTTAACGAGCAAAAGACGTCGATGGACCAAGCCCACGAGGAGGCCATAGCAGAGTTAATGGCAGGCATGGAGGCTAGCACGTCAGAAGCTCTACGAGAACTTCGCAAGAAGTATGATGACCTTTCATTGGAACTGGAAGAAGCACATTTCAATCACTCTGCTGCACTTGAAGCTGCCAAAAGGGAAGCCGCTCAACAACGAGACATTTACTGGGATTCTCAACTTCAGGAGAAGCTCAAGGCTGATGCTGCTGCCGAAAGTTCCAACATGTTAGCTCTGGGAGAGAAAATACGCGCAATCGAACGTGAGCGCGATGAAGCCATCAGAGCTGCCGAAGAAGCCGAAGACCGCATCGAAACCATGAAGGGCGAAGTCGTGCGTAAGCACCTGGCCCGTGTCGAACCGCTGGAGAAGGAGAACTTGCAACTCCTCGACAAGATTGACCGCCTCGAAGCAATGCTTGCTGCCGGGGACCGGATTGCTCGTGCTGCTGCCAGCTTGGGTGAGCAGCGGGACATGAACACTCTGGCAGAAGAGGAAGAGGAAGAAGACAACGGCACAGGCGCTGTGTCTGGTACTCAGCGCCATGCAACCAACGGCACTGGTGCTGCAAAAGATGTTGTCGGTACTGTGAGTTGAGCCCAAATCCTCGTACGTGGATTATCTGCTTTCTTGCCGCGCACAGAGTCCAGAGAGCTAATACATTTCTAGCAGTTAGCGGCCATGCAAGAGACGTTAAGCCAGCTCGCAGAACTCAACAACGACGCAATGGTAGAAAGCACCAGGACAGCTCAACTGCTTACTGCGCAGGAGAACCAGCTGCACACCGGCCCAGACAAGCTTCCCCACCCCACCCTCTTCTTGATGGACTAAAGGTCTAGGAGCCGAGACATGATTGCGATCAACTGCACGAGGGAAATGACATGGAATGCGTCTCTACACAACTATAAACTACTTTTAATCTTTTCCTCTTACCCGTGGCTTGTATGCCGTTTAGTTTTTTGTTCTCTTGATGTATGACTTTTTATCATACCCAATACACTTGCGTCACGTTGTTTGACAATTCTTAATGCGTCGGTTTATCTAAATGACGACTGTTTTCGTACCTGCATGTGTTGTGTTGTTAGTGAAAGCTCACTTACTAGGTAGTAGTTGGTGATGAGCCAAGGGGCCCCTTTCTTTTCGCCAGTGATATTTTCTTTTACATTGCCAAGTGTCCACGTACATTACATGGCTACGTGATTTGATATGCCCCTATTCTTTCTCGTTCACGACTTTAATTATTTACCCAAACAAAGGCCGCTTGGCAATAACTATATAACACCCCCCTTTTTTTCCTTACTCAATGTCGAAGCAGATGAAAATATGCAACAAAATCACTCGACCCTTTTCATCACCAAACTCAACAGCACAAAGATGTGAATTTAGTTCGGAACCAAAAAAAAAAACACAGGTCTCTTTTAGATGATATATAACTGTGGTAAAATAATTTACATCAAAAGAAAAGGCGCAGCCAAATTGCTAAGAAAGATGGAAGAAGAAAGAAAAAGAAATGCGGTTTTATGTACATGAATTGGCCTTTTTATTTTGGTCCTTTCTTGCGCTCAAGAGTATTGCTCAAGAGGATGTTGTGTTTTGGGATTCCTGATTAAGCGGAAAGACATTGAGAGTAGTAATCGTTTTGCTTGACGCACTTCCAGCCGTCGGGGCAGGTAGTGGGGCCATTGTGTCCGATGCCACCGCAGCGCTCCCACTTTCCTGCTGTGGCGGGGGAGCCAGCTGCTGGGGCGGAAGGCTTGGGGGCTTCGGCGGGTTTGGTGGGCGTAGTAGCTGGGCCCGAGGGCTTGGGGGGCGCGGGTGTTGCGGCGGGTGCGGATGCAACGGGGGCTGAGGCAGCAGGGGCGCTGGGGGTGGGAGATGGAGTTGCGTCTGGAAGCTCAGCGGACGCAGAGGTAGGGAGGGAAGAGGGGACGGCGGGGGAAGCCGGGGTGTCGGGCACGGGAGTGGTGGTGTTGCCGGATCCTGGGGTGCTGGGATTGCCGCTGAGCTTCATGATGCGGGCGGCGGCGGCCTCGGCGGCGACCATGATGATGGCTTGCGTGTTTCCGGTGGGGAGATCGGGGTGGATGGAGGCGTCGACGACGAAGAGGTTGTCGGTGCCGTAGACCTTTGTGTTGGTGTCGACGACAACACCGGGTTCGCCCTTGGTGCCGATTTTGGCGGTGCCGACGTAATGGCTTCCTGACTTGAATGACTTGATGAGATCGGCGCTGGTGACGTTGGTGACGCCGGTAGGGGCGATGAGGGACAGGGTCGAGTTGGAGCCCTTGGACATGTTGATGAGACGGTCCATCATGAGGGTGATGGCTTCAGTGTCGACCTTGGAGGTCATGTGAGGCTTGGTGATGAAGGTGGTGGCGCCGGCAGCAGTGATACCGAGGCTACCGACAGACTTCAGGCCGTGGGTGATGTAGACCTTCATCTGGACAGTGTCGTCTTCGGGAGAGTTGCAAGTACCTTGGAAGAAGACTTCACTGCCGTCGGATGTCTTGACTGAGGACCACCAGTTCAGGCGCTGGCCAGACTCGGCAAGCATACCGGAGCCCTTGGCGAATAGGTCAATGGTGGTTTGGTTGGGCGAGATAAGAGCCTTCTTGTCAGTGGCGGCAAGAGGAGAGCTGGTCTTGAACTTGACGGTGAAGATTGGGTGGTCCTTGATCTCTGCTCCCACAGGGAGGTCAATCCAGTCAGCTTCGGCAGGCAGCTTGACGCCGGTGGAGCCGGTAGCAACAGTCTTGATCTGGGCAGCAGGGCCAATGCCAGAGTTGAAAAGGATACGAGGAGTCGACATGGCTCCGGCCGAAAGGACGACACGGCCTCCAGCCTTGACGTTGTAGACAAGGCGCTTGCCATCGGCACTCTCAACCTCGACACCAGAAACAGCAGAACCGTCGCGGACAGCTCGGATAACGTTGGTGTTCATCATGAGCTTGAAGTTGTCGAGCTTCTGGGCAAGAGGGAGGTAAGTTCGGACACTGCCAGAACGCATACCATTGGCAATGTTCCAGGTTGGGTGACCATAGACATCGACCTTGTTGTTGGGGTTCTTGATGAAGTCGGTCTCCTTCCATCCCTGGCTAGCAAAAAACTTGGACAGAACAGTGAAAGCACCGTCGTCGTAGCGGACGCCGTCGTCCGAGCCGTGTGTCTGTCCAGGGTTGCGCTCGTACAGACGTTCAGCAGCAGCGGAGACATCGGCCCACTTCCAGCCAGTAGGCCACTTGTCGTCGAAGTCGCGCTCCTGGGGCCTGACGTACATCATGGCGTTGACAGCAGTACCACCACCAAGGAGACAGCCTGCCATGTCGGCAGTGTCGGTGCAGTAAGCAGGGCTACCGACATCACTGAGGTAGTAGCCGTATCCGGGCACATCGTACATAGAGACAGAGCTGTTCCAAGAGAGCGTCTTGACATCGCCAGTGAAGGCGTAGGAAGGACCACCACGCTCGATCAAGAGGACCGAAGCGCCGCTCTCTGCAAACCTCTGAGCGGCGATGATGCCAGCTGCACCACCTCCTGCAACAATGTAGTCAAATGTGGCATTTGCAACAGTAGCAGGGGGTGCAGGTGCAGCAGGCACGGTAGAGTTTCCTCCAGGGGCAGGGGCCGTGGAGTTGCCGCCGCTCGGAGCACCTCCATTTGGAGCATCTCCAACAGCGAGGGCAGCCCATTTGGCGAAATCAGCGCTCTTTGCGTCAGACATCTTCAGGCCAAAAGCACCAAAGCCGGCGTCGTGGTAGTTGAGGCCAGCAGAAGCCGTGGTCGGATCGGTCAGGGCCTTGTCTGACCAGGCCCAGCCCATGACGTTGAGGGTCTCGGAGATGACGAGGCCGAGAGAGGAGTCGTCGCTCAGGCAGTTGGAGCACAAGAATGTGTATGAAAAGGCCTTGTCGGTGACATATGTGCCATCAGGAATTGTCTTCATGGAGAAGTTACCAGTGACCACGGGTGGGCTGGTGTAGCCATCAATCTGACGGAAAGACGAGAGCACCTTGCCCTCGTTGGGCCAAGCAACAATGAGGACGTTGCTTGTCATGGATTGACCCATGCTGAGACCAGCCCATCCGCCTCCATTGGTGATGGGTGCTTGGATCTGAGCAATGAAGTCGGTTGTAGGAGTCTCGGGGATGGCATAACCAAGTCTGTATCCTGAGTCGCCAACAACACCCTGGAACTTAATGCCAGTCTTCTCATCTGTGAAGGCAGTAGAGGTTTGGGCCACAGCGCGTAGCGCGAAGAGGGCAGAGGTCAGGAAGAATGAACGAGCCATTTTGGCAGTTGTGAGTGGAATATAAAGGAGAGTGTGAGTTGTGTGTGGCTCTGCCAACAAGAAAGTGTGAAGCCGTCAAGGCTAGGGGCAATGAGTGTAAAGCAACGCTCAAAGGAACGAGCAAAAAGAAAAGAGTGAAAGAATGGTAGAGCGAGACAGCGCGTGTACCGGACATGGACATCGCGGCGTGCTACTCTATATGTAGGCTGTACACAATGCATGCCAAGTCGTGCTCAATCTACCATGTCTGCGAGGGAAAACGACCTCCGACACGTGCCCCACCAAACAAGCTCGGATTACAGCCTTGCGATCATGCAAAACAGTATTCTGGACTTCCGTGGTCCAGGATCATGGTTCACGCACGGCGCTATGGATGTCATGATGGTTCCTGGCGCTACCACCACTGCGGGAGGTTAATTGCACCGCAAAACAAGTGCACCGGGGGCTAGTGCACGATATAGCCATTGAGGTTATGCGATTTGCTGACCTGCTTGTTTCAACGTCCGCTCGGCTTTCTTCTGACGTCGTTGGGGTGGAGTCTAGCTGTTTCGAAACGAGGTGCCAAGACAAAGGCCGAGTCTGCTGGAAATTGCCTGTGGGCCGCCGCCGCAAAAAAAACACCATCTCGCACAGACTGCATACGTTGGAGCATGCGCCCGCTTCATTGCTTGACTTGCGCGTTGCGATGACTGGGCGGAATTACCGTGCACAACTGACATTGACATGGCGGCCAAGAGAAGGTGAATGGTAGATATGAAAGGAGTTGAGATGGAATGCGATCAAAGTCGTCGCGACGTTGTTGTCCTCGCTCAACGGACAATATCAGGGCGCTTCTTCGGAACGCAAACTCTATCGAGGCCAGAAATAGTCTCGGAGCAACCGTCCATCGGAAAGGAGGCACGATTGGGAGCTGTTGACGGAAGCGGGTGGTCGGGTGTTGGTGATGGCCAGGATGAAGGGGTGACATCCGACACCGTTTCACTCGTGAACCTACTATCGCATAATCAGCCACCTATTGCATTGCTTCCTTAAGCTGCGTAGAGGATTGCTGACGAGGAAGAGTAAGATGATAAGTGGGAAGTTGTCTCAAGGTTGAGCTTATCTGGTCTCCGTCAATAAAAAAAATCAATATCCTTCACGTCTACCATGGATGTAACGTGTGTCTAGATTCACTGATAGGTGTGACTAGAGAGATTATGTATATACTAGGTAATGTCCTTTTTCTGGAGCATGTGGGTCCACACTAAACGCCTGTCCGGGCGCCCTGGCAGGCATTGCCACATGGCAGACAGGCACATCAGGTCTGTCAACCTGTCAACGAGGCTGCACCGGTACTTTGATGACATAGCGACCGACATCGACAAGGCCGACTAATAAGATGACGGCGGATAAGGATATGCGGGGTAGGGTAGCAGGGTGCATGAGGGGTGGCCTAGTAACATCCTCGGCTCATGGTAGCGTACTTGGAGGTAAACTATCCCAGTTCGCGCCACCTTTTGCACGACAAGCCTACCTCTGGCATACCGGCCGTCTTCATCACACACTTTTTGAAAATCATCATCATCGGTCTCGTAGAGTAGATCAACATGGCGACCAAGGACAAAGTACCAGTCCACGTGCTGGGTGTGGGCCTCACCAAGTTCATTAAGCCCCGACAGACGCGAGCTTACCCAGAGATGGGCTACGAAGCCGGCGTCAAGGCCATGTTGGATGCGCAAATCAACTACGACGATGTCGAAACTGGAGTCGCCTGCTACTGCTATGGCGACACGACAAGTGGCCAGAGAATCTTCTACCAATTCGGTATGACCGGGTCAGATACTACGAGCATTCCACTGTTATTAGCGCGGCTGGAGTAACTGACTCGTAGCATAGCATCCCCATCTACAACACAAACAATGCATGCGCCACAGGCTCTACCGGCCTGCATCTTGCGCGTAGTCTGATCAAAAACGGGGCCATCGACTGCGCCCTCGTGATTGGATTCGAGCAAATGCAGCCAGGCTCCATCAAGTCCGTCTACAGTGATCGGCCCTCGCCCATGGGGCTGTCGATGCGCATGATGGCCGACACCCGGGGTATCACAAACTCGCCACCCAACGCCCAGTACTTTGCCAACGCAGGCGTCGAGTACATGGAAAAGTACGGTGCCGAAGCACGCGACTTTGCAGAAATAGCACGCATCAGCCACGAGCACAGCTCGCGGAACCCCTACGCCCAGTTCAGAGACGTCTACACGCTCGAGCAGATTGAAAAGTCGCCCATGATCCACTTTCCACTGACCAAGCTGCAATGCAGCCCTACGAGTGACGGCGCAGGCGCCGCCGTGCTCGTGAGCCAAAAGTTTCTGGATGCACGACCGCATCTCAAGAGCCAGGCGATTCTCATCGCCGGCCAGGCACTCATGACGGACTCGCCACAACTATACTCCAAATCCTCCATGGACCTCGTTGGATACGACATGACGAGGCGCGCAGCGCAAGCCGCGCTGAAAGAAGCCGGTGTGAGTCCCAAGGACATCAAAGTCGCCGAACTCCACGACTGCTTCTCGGCCAACGAGCTCATTCTGCTCGAGGGCTTGGGTTTTAGTGAGCCGGGCAAGGCACACGTGATGGTGCGCAATGGCGACATTACGTATGGTGGTAAAGGCCCCATTATCAATCCCTCGGGCGGTCTCATCAGCAAGGGGCATCCACTCGGTGCAACGGGTCTTGCGCAATGCGCAGAGTTGACATGGCAGCTTCGTGGCTGGGCTAACAACAGGCTGGCAGAAGGCGCAGATGTAGCGTTGCAGCATAATCTGGGTTTGGGTGGAGCTGTCGTCATTAATGTGTACAAGCGTGCTGATGGAAACAAGAATGTCAAGATGAGTGATGAAGACGTCAAACGTGCCAGCCAGTTTGCATACAACCCGGCAGTAGAGGCGCGCTATGTAACAAAGGAAGAAGGCGAAAAGGTGAGGAGCAAAGCTGCGGCTTCGGAATACGCGCTTGGTGATACGCTGGAAAAGATTCAAAGTCGGCTGTGAAGTGGACCTGTGCGCATACCATTGTAGTCATGTATCTATTCTTAAAATCCTCGTGTTAAAAAAATGGTATTATGCAGAAATTGAATCCGAGACATCTAAATCTAAAATAAAGTATAGAACAGGACCGGGAAATCATAAGCACTCCCGTTAGCGTAAATACAGAATCAACTGCAGTCATGGGTCTTCATAAAGGTCTCTGTTAAGATCTTCTCCAGGGTCTTGTGGAAGGACTTCTGGAAGGACTTCTGGAAGATCTTCTGCTTGCTCCAAAAACCGGGGATCGATGGTCTGAGGCCATTGCGTATCCGTATAATTTGGATCATCCAACGCTGGGCACGCTTCAGGCAATACCATGTGCTCTGGCAACATGTGTTGCGTGATGTCCAAGTCTGAAATCTCAGTGCTTCCTGAATGTCGACGGTTATGGTGTGGCGAAGTGATGGAAGTGAGAAGCGAGCCTTCTATTGGGTCATATACCGAAGATGAATTCGTTTGTGACGGGAAAGGCGTGTGAGAAGAGGAAGTGCCTAACTCGGCACGACTTGATCGTCTACTCAGAAGAGGCGCACAATAATTGATGCTGGGAGGTTTAGTCGGCTCATGTTGTGTCGACTCGTGCTGTCCAGACCAATAATGCGGCATGGTAGTGTTACTGGAGCCATAGATCCATTCGCGGGGCTGCCTAGCAGTGGCAACCAAGCGCTCGGGTTCTGGTGCATGATCTCGGGGCGGTTGGTGCGGCTGTTGAGGCTGAAAATGGTCATTCTCCATGTCCACCACTGCCGCAGCTTCGTTGGCGATGGTTTGTATACGCTCCAGCTCACCGAACAAGGCTCTCGACGCCAAGGTCCCAAAATGTTGCGCAGTATCGTGAAAGATTTGACTAAGGGGATAGGTTGTGCCGTGATACAATGGTGGGTTTCCGCTGGGTTGGAGGCTGTTGGTGAAATCTATCGTGGCGCCGGTGGCAAGAGCGCCATCGGGGTGATTGGAGATCAGCGAATTGAGCAGACTTAATAGGTCTATTGCAAACTGCGAGGCGGCGCGATGCGATTCATCTGGAATAGAACCTGGCGGAGGCAATGTGCCGTGGTCTCCCCCGCTCGGTGTGTGTGCTTGCTGGTCTAAAAAAGAAGCAGATGTATCGCGTAGCAAGGTTTGACATTCTTCCCATATTCTTTGAGGCAGCCAGTCCTTCTCACCACAATCTATCAAGCATTCATCAGCAAAAGGAATGCATCGTGGAGAATAGTAGACTTACAGGGGCTGGGAATCCTTGTAGCCCCAGGATATCGTAACATATATAGTCGCGCCCATTCTCTGACAATATCTCGACACTGAGGATTAAGTTGGCATCTCTTTTCCGGACTGATGTGTACATTGTAAAGATTTCGGTCGTCGAAATCCTTCTTGCAGTTGGAACACTGCCAAGCTCCTGGGCGGCCGCGATGAATAACCCGGTTGAGATGATGTCGAACTTGAGCCATGACTGTCTCACCACATCCACGGCAAGGCGATGGCCCGAGGTTGGGATACATGATGTGATGCTTGTGATCGGGGCAGTCAACTTTTCTAGACAGTGAATCCCTGGTCCGGTTGCTTTTGGTAACTTTGAAGGCATTTTGCTCTCGACGACGACTGGGTGTCAGCTTTCCTTTATCCCGGTAGTGTAGGTTTGGTTTGGACATATCAGTATCCTGAGCATTCGATGCAGAACCTTCGCCCCTGGAACGACCACTAGTTTCAGTAGACTCAGAAGGGTGACAGTGTGGCACAGCGTTGGTCATTCCTTGGTCGGTCGGATCGATTGAACCAGACTCGATAGCGCGAACAATGACGTTGATCTCTTCCAGAACTCTCATGTACACATCATATGCATCCGACCTGGAAACTGTTAGTACATAGATAGTACGCATATTATTGGATCACATACTTTATGTGTCTGAGGTATTGAACCATTCTCGTAAACAAGGTCAGGAACATATCGCGAAGCCGGGCATACGTCTCATTGTCCAGTTGAGTATATATCCGGCACAAGGCATCTCGGGTGGAGCGAGGTACCTCATCTATATCGATATTGTAGGTGAATTGCGGTAGCGGTGCCGAAAACACATCCGCCTTCTTGTCCAGGCGAGACGCAGTCCGGCGGCGTAAGCCACTATCACTGAGGTTGCAATGCAACTCAGGGTGATGTTTACGCTCATGTTTGACACGAGCGTCTTGGCGCGCAAAGGTCCTGGAGCAGCCAAGAGCCGAACATGTGATTGGAGCTCTGGCTACTTTGGAGTGCTTGTGTCTCGCATGGCGTGCAAGGTTTCCACGCCTGTACCGGCCTGTGAACTCAACGCCGCACTGGCTGCAACCCAAAGTATTCCCATCAATGACCTTGGATATGGATATGATTGGGGCAGCAGAGCTTGGGGAAGGAATCGAAGATGAGTTTACTGGAGGGGGGAAGGATGGGCGTATTTTGGGGGCTACTACATCGGCGTAGGATGGGCGTATTCCTCGGGCTACTACATCGGCGTAGGATGAGCGTATTCTTGGGGCTGCTACATCGGCGTGGTAGTGCTGGTAGAGATGTTCGTGGGTGGCTGTCGGATTGCAGTGGAAGTGTGAAGGCGTGTACTCATCGACCTGGCTTTGGTGAGTGCGATGCTAATCATGTCGCCATCTTGACTTACCTCAGTGACGTAAGATGACTCCGATGCCGGATATCTGGCTGCATGACTGATAGGTTCTCCATAGATAGGGAAATCATGAACAGCCGATGGATAGAGTGCACCCTCTTCTGGGGGGAGCGGGAGGGCGGTTGCACTATCGTATCGCTGGTCGTACGTGCGTGGGTGCCTGGACATGGTGTAGGATAGTAATGATGTCTATTGGTATTGCTGATATGGAGGAAGTCTATAGGATGAGGAGGGAGGTGGGCACCAAGTAGACGAGGGAGATCCCTATCCTTTAAGCATCTTCATGAGCGTCGGATACTGGGTAAGAAAAACCAGCCAGGGCAGGGCGAAAATAGAGGGCGTAGGCTAGTAGAATATAAACACTAGAAGTGTGCGACGCAGGGGCACGCCAGGGCACGCAAAGGTGTGCAGGTGGAGAAGCGGCCGTGACGACATAGAGGCCGGTAACTGTGCAAGTGTGCGTGCGGTAAACATGAAAAATCGACAACCACGATGGAACACGGAAATTGGATCCTGCTAGCGGAGCCGGGGGAGATCTACGCGAAATGCAACGCCGGCGGCGGGGGAGGGGGGATGGACAAGGGNCGGAAGGAGCCTGGGAAACGACGTGGCCCTGTTCGCAGTGTCGAAGTAGTTGTGACGGCCATGGGCCGAGAGGCCTGTAACTAGGTGTGCTGATAAGTGTGCGGGGCACTAGACCTTGTTGAAATGGCGTGGTGTTGATGCGTAAACTACGCTACGCATGCAAGGCAGCCCTCAAGGCAGCATGCCAGGCACCACATTGTCTTTGGGCCCGGCTAATATGGCATGTTGAAACACAAAGTCGACAGTTGTGTCAGGAAGTAGGTGATAGGCACCGGGTCCAGATGCTTGATCCTTCTGACTGTCGTAAACCAAGCGACGTAACGTGAGCGGAAGCAGCAGCGCTATCAAGCTGGGCAGGCTAGGCCGAGGGCGGGAGACACAGTGCAGAATGTTCCGGTCGTAATGGATAACGAGCGTTGTATGTACAAAAAAATATAAAATGGTGTCATACTGATCCGCGGGCGTTGGACTGGCTTGGGGGTTGGAGCGCATGCAGCCAGGGCCGGCCTGTGGGAGAGATAAGCGAGAAAGGGAGAAGAATCGAGATTGGAGGAGGGAAGGGGGCCAGAGCCGTGGTGGGCACACAGCAGTGGATTGTGATGTCGGGGAAGGTGGGCTGGCGCCGGCGGGGCACTTGGGTAGGCTTGGCGGTGGGAGAGATGGTCATGGTGGTGGTTGTCTGGCCGAGATTGGTGAGCGAGGGGCGCGGGCGGTACGACGTGGTGCAAGTAGTACTCTATTCAGAATGGTTGCATGTAGCCGATACCCTCAACTGCACATTTACGGGCGGCTACAGCTTACCCCGGTCGTCGCCACGGCCTGTTAGGGTGAAGTACCATTTGGTTCCGCACATTTCAGCGCAGCCCTCGCCCCAGACGCCTGCCGTCCGAGCTCTTTCGAGTATCGCGTCATAGCTATCCTGGGCCTGGACGCCCACGGTGATGGACACGAGTCCTTCTGGAAGCCCGTCCTGGCCCGGCATGAAGACCAGCCGGGCGTTGGTAAAAGCCAGCAGGTCGCGACGTCGTGACACGCCAAAAATTTCTTCCCACTGTCGCGCCGCGCCCTCAGCATCAACGTCACCAGGCTCGAGCCGCAGTACACAGCCCTCGAGTGCCAAGTGGCCCGTCTGTTCCATGCCGCGCATGTAGCTCTCACTGGCCGGTCCGCAGGCATGCCATGGGGAGAAGCGGGTTCCTAGGGGGTTCGGATTCGCTGGCCCTGGCGTGTGCGAGTCGAGTTCAGGCATCAAGCCGCCTAGTAGTAATCCATCATCAGCCACCACCACCACGACGCCTGCGCCTCTTCACTGACTGCGCCTGCGCCTGCGCCTGCAGCCAAGCTGGCCATGGGACGAACGTACCTTTGATCCCCTTTGGGTGGTACTGGATGCACACCGAATCGCTGAACTCGTGGTCGAAAATGACGCTGGCCAACTTGTTCGCCGTGATGTACTCGCGCCGCTTCTTTGCATCCTCGGTCTGCATGATAATCATGAACCCGCCATCCCCGCGCTTGTCGAGCAGCTTGCCAACCGTCGTATGCTCCTTGAACGGCGAGACAACCTCAATAAAGTCGCCGCCTAGCGGAACTGCAGTTGCGTCAATCACGAGCCTCGGGAAACGCGCAGGGGCTACGTGCCGATGAAATTCTTCAACCCCCACTGCTCCACGGAATCATCCTCAAATGCAAAGCCTATGCCCAGGACATATGTCTGAAATCTCCGTCAGCTTCCAATTGGTACTTGAGCTGTCGTTGTCGTACAAGCAGCTGCCTGGCCTTGTCGAGATCCCTTGCAGCTAGTGCAATTTGCCGGAGGCGTGTTGGTGCAGGTCCCAGCTTGGCGTTGCCTGCGTCTTTCTCTCCAGCAGACATTTCGAGTGGCGCGTTACTCAGATGAAGTGTTGCAAGTATTGTGAGAGGTTTGCTCGTGTTATTTGTAGACGCGTAGGTATTTGGTCTCCTCGGCTTAGCATCGCTGTTCCCCGCATCGATTCCGACACTTCCTTGTTGCGTTGCGGCCTGCACCCTTGCGTAGTGCCATCTGTTAGTGAACAAGAGTCAAGCTGTTCTCCAAGCGGACTCGTCGCCGCTTCAGGTGGCATATGAGTAAAACGTCATGGCGGACGTTGTACTGCGATGCAGCTCACAAGTGGCTGTGGTTGAAAGCTCGGGCCGATGACATGGCTTCGTCTCCACAACAGCAAACCGTTCCTTCTCTCTTGTGTGCATCTGCGAGGAATGAATACGGAACCCACGCACTTATATGACCAAAACCCTGCATGGTTATTGACTCGAGTATAAGAGAGTTTTAGAAGGGACAGTAGCGGCAGTGGCTAGTTGTAAAGAACGGTGGTGGCTTCGTTGTGTCCAAAAGGCCCCCCTTGACGTTGATGACACGATTCTTTCTAATTTCATTTCCAACCAGTTGATTGATCGTGTTTGGCATATCCAGAAGAAATTAGACGTCTGGTGTACACCCAGAAGGCACTCAATCCCAGTCTATAGACGCTACTCTGATTTTCAGTTGGAGTTCTGGCTGGCTATCATTGCACTAAAAGATATTCTGGGCGGCTTTCCAGAAGCACGCTTCTCTATGTGGGAAAATTATGCGAAGAACGTAAAGGTGATGATATATAATATCTAAGCCTCTCTATATATTTACAAGCTAGAATGTTGACTTAATTAGCAGAAGTCCTAACAAGATAGCGCTTACGCGTCACTATCTATACTAACTACCTACAGCGATAACTCTCGGCTGAATAGTATAAAGGGCTAGGCTTATAACAGGCCAGAGCTTTCTGCTTCCTCATCATCGTCTTCAACCTAGGTATTTCTCTCCTGTCTGTTCCAGTTGTCAATCGTCTGATCGGCCTAGCTATTCCTCCATTTTAGATATATAGATAGCTACCTAGCCTAGAAGCTTAGCTCTCTATCGGATGCAATCTTGTTACCTGATATTGCCTATTGTATTACCTTGAGTCATGCCCCTTACACGTATTATGTTCGGTACGTTTGATTCAAACTCTCAGAGTCTTACACTGACTTTGAATTTGTAGAGCAGCGAAGTCAACTAGCAACTCAGTGGTACTATGGCATGTAGGGATTTCTAATATGGTGGATTCACGGTCCTTTACCCTGTAGCTATCTAGTTCCTTTTGTGCAGGTTGAATGGTGGACATTGTATGAAGACTCAAGTCACCCAATGTGCATTATCGCACGCGGATTTCATAGGGCAAAAAGGTAATGCCTCCATTTTCACCGGTTTGACGCCGCAACCAGGGACGATCTCTACAGACCGCTGACAGCTGCATATAGCGGGGCAATGGGGCGCAGCCCTCGAATGCAGCTACACCAACAACAGCATGCATAGTTTTAGGGGCTGAAACAGCCCATGCAGCCAAGGGAGAAAGGTTGGCTACAGTTTATCTGTGCTTTAGCGAACCCAAAGCTTGGTTAGAATGGAGTTGGTATAAGTATGTAGGCCATCCAGTCAGGTTGTATCTTAACACAAACTCATGTCAGTCCTTTGCAAAATAAAAGACATAGCCAAGTAGTAAGCCAATCATCTAAAGCTTAATAAGAATTGTATAACCAACAAGACCACTAGGCATATTGAGAAAACCTGAACAGAAAAGAATATCGAGAACTATCCATTCCTTGAAGTCCGACTACCCCATTACTCGCACAACGCAATGTCCGGTGTGGGCGAAGCATCCGCCATAATCGGCATCCTCTCAGCCGGCGTCACGTTTATTGAAGCCGCCAAAAAGGTCTACGATGCAGCGGAAAACGCGGAAGATCTACCTGCCGCCTTTCGCGAAGTCGCCCAGCGTCTCCCTCTCATCCAAGATACTTTGAAAATCATAGAGGCACAACTTGAAAAAGACACGCTCGATAAGGCTACATATGAAGCAATAAAGAGCACCAGCGAACGAGCCAAGACCAAAGCTGAGCAGTTGAAGGTGATTTTTGAAAAATGTATTCCGGTCGAAGGTGCATCGAGATACGCGCGATACGTTGCAGCGCTTCGAACCTTGGGGAAAGAGCATAAAGTTGAAGTGTTGATGAAAGATCTGTTGGGGGCTGTGTAGGACATTGCGAACGGCCAGACAATGAGGGTTGCCACGCGAGAGCAAATCATAAAGCTTTCCGAAGCACTGGATGCGGTTCTGGCAGTGGAGCCGTCCGTTTCAGACGAGTTGATTGAGGGGGCATCGGCTGCGAGCCGCAACGTTCATATGGGCAAAGGCGATATTTATTCGGCAGACGGAAAAGCAGAACAATTCAATGCCAAGGATAACGCCAGGCAATTCAGAGCAGAGACCATGTATTTTGGAAAGGAGTAGAGTTGTAGTTGGCATGGTTTCCATTCCGTAGAGATTGGAGAAATGGTCCAGAGTCGGTCACCGAAAGCCTGCATCTCTTGCAAGCTGGTCTTCTGTCAGCCCCTCTTTGACATTCTGTATGTATGTATCGAACTTGTCGGCAATCTTCATGACGTGTTCCAAATGCGAAAAGCAGAGGTTTTTGCCACGGTATTGTGCCAACTGACGTGCAGTCGTGATGACGTTGCGAATCTGTCGCCCATTCATCTCTCGCGTGACCAAATTATCGATATGATCGTTTATATCGTCAAAATCGACATTGTTATCCCCCAGGTTCTTGAGCCTTTGAATGAAATTCCGCCATATTTTGCGACGCTGCGCAAGGCTGAGCTTGTCGTAATGCAGAGTCAGCTGGATTCGTGATTTGAAAGCTTCGTCAAAAGTGCCCACTCGATTGGAAGTGAGAACCAAAATGCCTTGATAGTACTCGAGAATGCGCAGGAACACCGATACCAAAGCATTCCGTGCTAGATCCTGTTGACCTCGCTCTTCTAAGAAAACATCTGCTTCATCCAGCAGGACCACACAGTCCCATATATGACCCAGATGAAGTACGGACTCAAGGTAAGTCTCCACTTGCTCTAGGTTTGTTCCTATATCGCCACAGGTAACACGGTACAGAGGTTTCTTTGCAAAATCTGCCATGCTCTCTGCTGTAAAGGTCTTTCCTGTTCCTGGGCCGCCGTGTAACAAGATGATAAGACCATTGCCTTTGTCGGCGATAATATCTGTGCCTTTGGATGATGCAATCTGGTTCGTGACTACGGCCTCAAGTAGCTCTTTGGCATCGTCATCGATTGCTAAACTTTCAAACGCCTGTGTATTCCACACTACTTCTCGAATGTGGTCCACTTGGAGGTCAACTTTAACCCTGTGTTAGCTTCAGGACTTACTGAATGTTGGGAAAAGACAAACTCACTCCAAAGCTTACGCCTGAGATCATACGACACGACAGATCTCGGAAACACGAGCAGCTCCGAGGTATCCGGGAATTTGTCCAGTTTGAGTGTCGACTCGAGCATATCACCCGACTTGGTAGCGTGAAAACTCAATGTTAACGCCATATCTTTTGTACCGTTCTGCGGGTTTCGAAGACCCTCAGATTGACTTTTCTCATTCTTTTTTCGCCTATATTGAGAATAGGTTGCCACATCGACCATGTATCTGTCTCTATCCTGTTTCTCAATGAATAAGTTTTCAGACACTAGAAAATGAAACTTACCACACTGATCTCATCTTCAAAATGGTCAACACACGAAACCAGATATCTTTCTCTACATTTCCAAAATATTTCACCCCTTTTCTTTAGTCTAGCCTCTAAGCCTGTGTCGTCGTATTTGAGGGGGAAAATTTCTAAAGAGGTGATGGGAATTCTAACCCTTTCCGTCCGAGCAGCGATTTTGAGGCGGAGAACCTGTGTTGTCTTTTTGAATTCACCATCGAATGACCAAGACCACGCTTCGATGGTCCACAAATAGTCTTCTTTAGCAACCTTCTGCACAAGAGCGTCTGATGTCTTAATGTCTTGTTTGTTCGATTGATGCACAGAAACTGAGGGTTTGGCCCGGCCTTGTAGTCTGTCCTTGTGTAGCTTTGGTTCCAGAGAGTTGGCTAACGTTTCTGTAAAATATAGATCAATCACTTGATTTCTGGATGACTTTGGTTCGAAAAACTGTGGCCAAGTCGTTGCGATATATGCATCGATCTTTTCGGCTTTGCGCGAGATCAGGACATCACCAGGACGAACCAGGTATTTCACTGACATTGGACATACCACACCCTTCTCAAACTCAGAATCGATATAGCTCCACTCTTCCCCATATGAGCCTTCAATCCAATCTCGAAAGAGATTAATCAGCTTTTTATCCTTTGCAGACAATGACTTCAGTGCCTCTTCAACATATGTTCGAGAGAAAAACCAGAACAGATATGGTTCATGAATCTCTTCGGTTGGATCAAACTCAGGAAATGACTCCTTAAAACCCGGAATAACACTCAAGAATTTTTTCATGACAGAAATCATTTGTGGAGAGGTCAGCATCACCGATTCTGACAAGGGTTGTGGTTGTGGTAGAGAATCGTCTTCGGCCAATTGAGTAGTCGCCGAAAGTTCTACATAACCGTCATAATCCCTGAAGGCAACGAAAACAACATCGTCGTGGCGCCTGAGATAGTTGTTTATGTTCGAAATTCGCGTATCGCCCTTGAGCTCGAAACATCCATTTTGGGCGTCTATCCAGAACGGTTCTCGTAGATGGATTCCACCGTGGATGCGATAAAGAGTCTGCCACCTGGATACAATCTTGACACGAGGTTTCTGGCTATGCCCATTTTGACCTCTATCCTTTGTTCGCCGTTTCAGTCGATTGACCTCGGCACTGAGCTCTTCTACTCGCCGCGTCAAAGCCGCTGTGGTCCAAGAAGCATCGCAGGCTTGCGATCCGGCTATTGTTCCAGCACCCGCTCCCCAGGGTTCTGAATCACCCGATACATTGGAGACTATCTCGTCCTTCAAATCACACTCTTCCTGTGAAGATGCCGATATTCTGCCGTTTCGGCGATCAGACAACAACTGTGTCGTATCTTGATCTTTCATTATTCGTTTCTTTTTTTTTTCTCTACTTGTGGAGGCAACCCAACATCGAAGAGAGGGTTTGTTGAAAATTCTGAAAATTGGTCTCTTCGGCGATTGCGTGATTTGTTAAATGCTCCACTATTGCTTTTCGTCGTAACCCGACGGTTGCTCTCGTCAATATACCATGATGCGGAACTATCGTCTTCTGTATCTTCAGGAATTTCGCTCAACTCAATAGAGTCAGGATCTTCTTTAGGGTGCTGGTTTTCTTTGGTCTTTGACAATCTTAGTAAATAGAAAACACCTGCCTTTTGAGCTTACCTTGAGAGCAAGCGCCCTCGTGCTTGGCTCGAGGGCAGAGAGTTGTTCGTCCTGGAAGTTACTGCCTTGGGTGCGATCATCAAATATAGTCTTGTGCGTGAGAATCCAGTTATTTGCGGAATCATCCGAGGTGATTCGCTTCTCCGTCCGCTCTTGCATGGGCCGCCTCACTTCTCTCGCAACTATATAGGTCAAATCCGATGCACCGCCTTTGATGGAGATGAAGTTTCCTGGCCCAGAGCCTCCCAGAAGGTTTTAAAGGTATGGCAATTAAGTGGCCATCTTAGTGTCGACTTGTACGTAAACCTATGGGATTGATTGCATATTACACCGCCTCACCGGTATTCACTTTACCAGATTTCAACATGAAACGGACAGCCATGCCAAAAGGAGAATCCCATTGGGGGCCAAAATCAAGTATTGGCGCACATAGGCGCAAGGAAACTGATTACAGGAGCAATGCTGATTCGACCAGTGTGCAGGAAGCTGAAACCCCGCATTGAGACCTGCAGCCTGTGAGCCGAAGATCTCCTCATAATTGGTCAAGATGGGTAAGCAATATCCAATGCATCATGTAATGAAGAAACCCATCCCTGCGTATCGGCTAGAGCTTGCTGTAGAACTGGACCAGTACATAGCGAGGCAAAATTTCTCAGCCTGCATGGGCATAGGGTATAACCCATATCGTATATGAGGCTCATTACGCTGGCCTAACAGCTGCAAGTTCAAATCTTTACGATTATGTCACAGCATTATCATACAACAACAACCAGAGAATGTGCTGACGTCGGCCATAGCGCAGCATCCCACCATGGCGTTGGCGATCAGTTCGCCGTCAGCGGAAATGCTGCTCAGTTTAACGCTGCTGGCCAAGCTGAGCAGTATAATTTCAGTGGAGAACGAAGCAGCATGAATCTATTCATCGGCTAGTTCAGAAATTACTGACATTTCTTTTGAAGGGCGGTACAGCAACTTTGGTTCGAATGACTTCCTCGTGCTGCAATCTTTCATGTTGCCTACCCCCGCTTATGCAGCCAAGAAGCAATCATCAGCATATGTTCATCTCTAACGCCAAGATTTTAGGCTTAGAAGCATTCAAAAATGATGGCACTCTCAACAATTTACTACAATTGGCTTTCAGTATGTTCCAAGACATATTGATCAATGTGGAAAAATGGACTAATTTACGCCCAAGACAGCCGGAATATCCAAAATAGCGGTTGTGTGGATTCGAACATGACTTTATCCCAAACCCAGGCAAATGAATTCTTAGAATCCTTGGAATCCTGTACGATGCTTGGAGTGCCAAAGTCATGGAAAGACTTAAAGTGGGGATATCGAGAGCACGCAGTGATGAAAGTAAATCCCTTTTGGCTCCAACCGAAGTTCCAAACGTGGTGTTCCAAACCTCGGAATACTTTGCGTTTTGTGAAAGGCTCTTATCAAAACCGGTCGCAAATCAAGAGTTTCTGTTTGGATTTTATCAAGCTCATGGAGGATGCGAGGGTACCGCTCCTATGGGCGTTAAAACCGAACTCCTGTGAACAGTCGAATGGGTTCTCTCCAGAACGTGTATTAAGTTACTTGATAGTACAAGCACTAACCATATCCTTGAAACAGGAAAAGGCCTCAGGGATATCAGAGAGGCAGGCAGCTCAAATCCGTGGGAAATTTCAAGATGCCTCAACCCTCACGGATTACATCGACCTTCTATGCTTCAGTATATCTATATCTCGATTACCTGAGGTCTGTATCCTTATTGATGTACACTTGCTTAATACCAGACAGCAAGGATCCCGGGAGCATGTTGATTTGATGAACGCGTTATCAATCGCTCAAAGCCGCTTACATGACGATGGCTGCAGGACAGTGGTCAAAACTCTCTTGGTGAGCTATGGAGGAATTATGTTCAACGAACATGCATCATCAGATGTGATGAATAATGTTATCTTGGCTGGTAGTAATAGGCATGAGAAGGGCAAACCGGTACACCGACGCCGCGAGGTAGGCCGCTTAGTATCTTCTCATTTCAGCGGCTTTGGTAGAGCTCGACGCTAAGAATATAGCTTATACCTTGGTAGAATGTAACATGTTCCACCAGGAAGCTGTGCATCCGACCAAATCTGGCCCAACTCTCTGCACAATAACCGCAATGCTGCGACGGCAACGTTTCATGCAGACCTTTTATGAAGGCAAACTAGGCTTCAAAATCTTCTCAGTAAGCAGTTCAAATGACACTTAAACGTCCCTTCCTGTCTAGCATAAGTATACAAGCAGTCTACCGGCGAATTAGTACATAGCATAACAGGCTACTCACCACCCTACCAAAACCAACAATACGCCAGAAAGCTGGTTACTCTAGACCTTCATAGCCCTATCACAATACTATAACCATAAAAATACTTTAGGCTCTAACTACACGATATGGGCGTTTGGAGTTCTGGGGATTTAGTCTACCAGGTGCGCGTGGGCCGTATGGTACGGCTTCCTTCCCTCCCATCTTCCATCAGTCACTCCCGAATACGCCGTCTCCAGAATTCTCCCATGTTTGCGGCCAGGCCGAATCCTTCCAACCATGACTGAGTAATTAGTTCGTCTGCAGAGGCGGGCGCGCCTAAGTGGGCGGCTGAGCGTGTACATTGAGTTCACTCAAACACCACAGCGCGCCCTGCTACCTCAACACTCAAACCGATACGCCATTTCATTCATGCAAACACACCTCAACACTCAAATCATTTCTCAAAATTTTGGTCACTAGTATCGCGCTTTTCAGCGAGTAAAAGTGCAATCCCATGTTTCACACCATTGCCAGGCTCCCACCAACCTCCATTCCTACACCCACACTATGGACCAGCAAACACCCAACAACACGCCACAAGCCCCTTCCACTATGCGCCAAGAGCGAATATACACGCGCGCGAAGTAAAGGGCGCGCTATAACGCGTTGTCGCGTTTTTGGTGTCAAGTGCACCCCGCGTTCGTTGTCTTTGTTCTGCTCAGCTTCACTACTAGTACGAGAGAAGCTCGGATCTTGTGGCGTCTGACGTACCCGGCAGTGTACAAAAGTGGCCGTCACCTCGAATTTGCTTGCGCTTGGACTGAAATTGCAAACGCTCTTTCGGCTTCACTTTCCTAGCCTTGGTGTTTTCTCGGTTTCATATTGAGAGGGGAGGATACCGTTTTTACCTTTGACCATCTCCTCGTTGTTCAATCTGCTGCTCGAAAGCGTACAACTCTTGTCAATTTTCTAATTTATGCATCGTCAGGTTAGTACGTTTGTGTTTTTTTGGGCGTCTTGGTTTCGTTTTGTTCTGTCTCTCTCCCTCTATGCCAATTGGGTGAGTTGGAGTTTATAGCTCTCTACAGTGGGTCAATTCAACATGGCGAACGTAATCGACGACCTGCTCGCCCTTGCGGTAGCCACACCACTCCCAGCCATTCAAGAAGAAGAAGAAGAAATCTACACCCAGAACGACACTGCACCTTATGTTCGGCCAAAAACCCGTTCGCAAACCCGCGCCGCCCGACCATCGCTGAAGATCCGACTCCCCGTGCCCGCGACCCCTGTTGTCAAAAAGTCCCAGAGCAAAAAGCGTAAACCCAGTTTCACCATCTTCGTCGACAAAGACGCAGAAGACCAAGTCGCATCAGCCATCTCCACGCCCAAGAGATCAAGAACAAATATACCGCGTACCCCTCTAAGCGACAGAACCTACTCGACAAAGTCGACGCCCACACCTTCGCCCCGCTCCCCTTCAACCCCCTTGTCCCTCTCCCCCTTGGACCCTAACTGGGAGAACCTCGAAAACTACGCTCCATTCACTACCCCCGCGACCCCTCCCGCAACACCACCTCCCGTTTCGCCTCCACCCTCTCGACAGCCCTCAACCCGCACCCTCAACTCTCGCCCTCCTCCCCCATCCACACCACCGCGCCTCGCCCCTCCCACAAACACCCTCTTATACACGATACTCGGGCTTGAAGACTGGCGCGCCACCCCCGCCACGATCAAGAAATCCTACCGCCGCATGGCGCGCACCTTGCATCCTGACAAGGCGTTGTCGGAGGAAGAAAAGGGAAGCGCGCATTTGGCGATGCAGCAGCTCAATGCGGCGAGGGATGTGTTGTTGGATGCGAAGGCGAGGGAGGAGTATCATGAGACGGGGGTTGTGCCGTGGGTTGTTTAAGTAGGTCCTGTGGGGAGGGGGCGAGTTTGTGGGGTGGAGAGAGGGTGATGATGGTTGGGTTTGAAAGTGAAAAGCTGGTGTATTATTGTACATGTGCACATGTGCGGTGTCGTGGGTGGATGGGCACGACCTGTTTTCCAACTGTGGAAACGGAAGATGCAGCAACCAATGCTTGATTTCACAAAGTCTTGTCTGCTTGCTCAATGCAAATACGATATGTAGGCACTGGTAACATTTGCTGTTTGTTATGTGGCGGACGATGAGTGAGATATTTAGCAACGATATTTTATTCATCGAGGTTTTCTTGAACTAGGAATAAATCAAGGTATGCTATTTTCCTTGCAGTACTGCGTCTTTACTCTTCTTCCACGTACTCGGTCATATGGTAGCATTCACAAGAAAAGGCAATGACAAGGCTTTTTCTTAAAGAAAAAAAGGTTGAGAGAAGAGAGTAAGGGTTGATATTTTTTACAGACTGTCTTCGCATGCATGACGTCTTGCAGACTTCCGCCGTGTATGAATGTATGTACTATGCTTCGGCCCGATATATTACATGCAGTATCCTCGTATTCGATCCTTGTTACTAGTCATTTGGTATTTTCCTCCTTTTTTTTTCGTCTTTTCCTTGTTACTATGCATTGTCCCTGCATGCCCGTTGAACCGTTGATACATCTTAATGCTTTTTCGATTTCTAAGTTTTCATTTTTCTTTTTATATTGCGCCATGTAAATCCATGTCCTGCGTACGTTGATGTTTCCGAGACAATTGAATAGATTGCCTGGCTCAATATCCCTCAGTCCTAATTCGTACATAGGAATCTGCGTTGCTGATGTATCCCCTGAAACTCGGCCCAACACTCCAATTTGGTAGATTCCGGATCACATCCCTTGCTGTATCGCACAAGTCTACTCGGCCCGTCTCTTCACTTTTGTGCAATGCCTCTGTGGTGGTAAAGGACCAATCGCACTGAATGTTGAGGCTCATATCCGTGAGCCATTCCATGCGTTCCTGCATTGCGGGAATTTGAACAGCGAGTTCACGAAATGCGGGCCAGACGACAAAATCGACGATATTGATATGTGGCATAAAAAGTTGATTCGGGGTTGGACGGAGCCATTCGGGCATGGCATTGTACGTTTCGGGAGAAGGCGAAATCATCCAGCGCATCAATGACCAAAAAAGGTACATGAAACCGAAGCATGTAAATGTGTTGCCTAGTTTAGTAAGCAAAAAGAATTTCGAAAGTTGCAAACGGGTGTGAATGGTTACCTTTGAGAAACATGCCGTGCACCATGCCAACCGCCCATTTGGAAAGAATGCCCGAGTTGTTGTATACTTCTTCGTCAAACAAAGCAGCAATATTCGGATGCTTCTCAATAATCTCTTCGACCGGATGCCCCTTGTCTATCAAGTTTGTTGCCTCATGTAATACACTCGGTACAGTACGCCTGAGGGAACCAGGGTCGGGGACTGTATTTATTGGAAGCATAGCCCATGTTGGCAGGAAAAGATTGCGAGTATGCGTATCCTGAGGTTTGGAGTACTGGCTCGACTCGGCGTTGGTGGAAAAAGACGTGTTGTCGAAGAAGCTACGAATGTCGAGATTGGGATGGATACGGATAGTGTTGACAATAGGCTGTCGTCCGGCAAGGTGAGTGGAATAAATGGAGCGAACTCTGTTGTGTCTGTGCGGTGACCGTCTTTGGCTTTGAGAAGACCTTTTTGACGAGGAAGAGGGGATGGGACGGATGTCAAGAGTGGAAGCCTGCTGGGTGAGCCGTGGGTCAATATTTCTCTCCTCGATGTCATCATCGCCAGCGTCATCACTTTCGCCCTCGTCGTCGGCTTTGGGAAGCAAAAAGTCGTCTCGATCAAACAGAGGGCACAAAAAGGACTGCTCTTCGCTGATGCTTGACTGCTTTCCTCTACCCGGGGGCGCAAATGCAGAATGGGGAAGATTTGCAGAAGGTGACCAAGCAGTAGTTTGACCTGGAGGCGATGCCAAAGATGCGCTGGAGCCTTGACGAAACTGGGGAGTAGGTTTGCTTGGATCGAAAACGGAGTCGTGGCTCATTGCACTTCCAGAGGTATCGGTGGACTCCTGGCCCAGTAAGCTGAACTCCGGTTACCATTGTGCTTTTGCAGCTATAGAGGAAGCTGTAATTGTAGTGATGCATACCTGGGGGGTTGGGTGGATGCTGCTGGAGAGGGTACCAGGGAGAGAGACTTTGCAACATCTTCGGGAGTGTCACCAAGTCGTAGTCTTGCTAGAATGGCCGCGGCTTGGTCGTCTGTACCTGAGCGGAGGAAGTTGACGATGCGCTTGAGATCTTCGAGCTCGCCCGTCATGCTGTCCCTCTTCATAATCTTCATGCGCTCAGCTCTGGAGACGCCTTCGGCGACATCGTATTGGCATATAAGATCGTTATCCTTGCAGCGGTTACATCGTGGCCTCGTGCCGTCGCACTGCGGATTACTGAATTAGCAGCCTTCGAGAGAGGGTCAAAGGCAGCAGTCGGCCACCTACAGGTAGTGTCACAGCCAGTGATTACCCATAGACGAGTAGTAAAGGAACTACCAGTGGCACATGTGGCTGACAGGAGGGCCTTGGGTACTTTGCATTGCTGGCAGGCATCAGCTGCCGCTGAAAGTCAAGGCAAAGTACCTCCGGGTCACCGAAGACTCATGACACTGGCTGGGTGTAACACGGTCCTACGTACCTTGGCCTTCCCGTTGCGGCAGTGCACACAAGCCACAGCAACGGCCTGCCTCCGCTTCCGACGGTCTGGAGGAGCGCGTCGCTGTCCGGGCTCGTCTGAGGCAGGAGCAATATTCTGCCATCGGTCTGAGAGGTCCATGGGGTGCGGGCGATGTGGTTGTGGTTGAAGTTGGCAGCTGGCAAAGGCTCCAAGGTTGATGGTGGTGGTAGTGGTGGAGCCTGTGGAGTTCTCGGCGATGAGCGACAAGCTCGCGCCAATGGAAGTGCTGATGGCAACGCCGCAGGCTCTCTGAAGCCAACGGGGCGGCCCTGGTTGTTTGTGGCATCGGAGTCGTTTTCGCCACGTTTCGAGGGCAAGGAAAGCACATAGACACCCACCGTCGTCAGGCTGGCCCCCGAAATCCGCCTCTTGTGCTCTTGTGCAAATAGGACTCGCGACTTGAAGCGATTCCTCGGTTCAAACCGCCGACGAAAAACATGTTGCGGAGAGGGTTTCCTAGCCAATGAGGGGACGAGTGATCAGCTCACGTGCTTGCCAGGGCGCATTTGGATACCCAAAGCGTAGACGGCTTGGAACGAGGGGCGTGGGACACCTGTCAAGATGCAAAAGAGCCACGGCGTCTGCTCTGCTCTGCTCTACTTTGACGCCTCAGCACGAGGGCTAGCTTCGGCGGCACACGTGTGGCCATGGCCGCGCGGATGCAGAGGCACCACGGCGACGGGTTCCAGGCTTCAGGCCTTGCCATGGCCTGCGGCGGCCAGCAGGGCCGACATGGGGCATTGAGGGCATGGCGGAAGCCGCTGGTGTGCCAGGAGAAGCTGGGTCGTTGGGCCGCCATGGCCCGCCATGGCCGTGTGGTGACGAGTCGATGTGCGGCGTGTGGCGGTGCGCGAGGCTGAGGCTGAGGCTGGCAGCGCTCCACTGCTTACTGAGCCACATGGCCGGGGTTTGCGGCGGCTCGACGGCCAGACTGGCTGCAGGCCGTGGCGTGACGTCGTGCCGCCATCATTGCAAAAGACGACGGCATGCTAGTCTCGAGCGAGAGAGTCTTGATTGGCGGCTGCGCTGGCTGTGTCAGTATGCGAGGAGCTGATTTGGCAATGTGCCTACATGCGTGGATGTGTAAGCTGCCATGCCATTGCTGCTCGACGAGACTTGGCCCAGGAAACAAGAAGAAGCAGCGGATGAGGAGAAGAAGAAGAAGAAGAAGAAGAAGAAGCACAGCAGAGAAAAACTCAAGCACCGCAAGCACAGCTGCATGGCCGACGTGGTTCAAATACCAGGCAGCCACAGTTGACGTCATCTGCTGCAGCCGGCGGGTTGTGGCAATGGCACGCCACACCACCACCACCGCCGCCGCTTGCCACTTACCACCACTCACCACCAGCATGCCGTGCCCACGGCCATCGCAGCCCGGCGGGTGGCTGTACATATGGCTTTTTTCCTGCAGCCCTTTCCTCGCTAGCTCCGGCTCGTCCCAGCGCCCAGGCTGTGGGTAAGCACGCCAGCGTCCATGTGGGAAAAACCCGCCTGTTCATGCTCACGTCGGCGCCATGTAGCCGCTGCAGTATGCTAAGCAGTGTGGCAGACGCCATTCTAGGCGCGTCACGTGCCTTCTGCTTCTGGCTTCTATCTCCCCCACCCACCACCACCACCTCCTCCCTCCGACACTTCCGCTGACAGCTTCTGCCCATACCTCGTTTACCCCAGCACGCTGTCCACCACACCGACATAGCACCGCGCCCAAAGAGAAAGAGAAAAAGAAAGCAACAATGAAACACACGGCGTCATGGGACTTTCAAAACTCCATAAGAAACATGTCAATTCCCTTCTGTGCAGTATCGTGTAGCATGGCATTTGTAGACCCCAATCCTAAAACTCCCCTTTCATGCCCATTCTGAACAAAAAAAAACCCCTGTGCGCCACGTCTCAACATGTGTATGCAGGCCATGCAATAGCATTCTAGACCTGCTGGTATCCAACTCCAAAACAAAACCCCCCACCCTGCTTCACACGGAAACAAAAAATCAAAAATCCTTAGCCTGCGCCTGCCCCTGCTGCGATGGGCCGCGAGCAGACATCATCTCAACGTCCGAGTCGTCATAAATGCTCTTGCCCCGAACCGACTTGCTATTGTCGCCCGCTTTCGCAAGAGCAGGGAAGCAGTATCCGGGGTGGAAGACAGTCAAGGCCAACACCGCAGTGACAATCATGGCTCCCTCCAAAACGATAAAATCCACCTCTTCGCGCATCAGCTCGCTCCTCCACCCAAAAGCAAGCTCGGGAATACGGTACACGCATCGAGCGAAAATGGTAACAAAGGCCAATGCAATGGCAAAGAGGAAGCAGCGGAACGACTTTTGTTGGAGCAGAGTCCGGGCTTCATCTGACAGCTCCTCGCGGTGCTTGTACGTGCGGATGGCGTATTCAACAAGCAAGAAGCCAAAGATGGTCAGCGTGAAGACTTGCCAAACAACACCTGCAATCATAATGTTTGTGCCATTGTCTTGTGCCTCGCTGCCAAAGTCGGCAGTCGCAGCAATACCACCACCCGCGCCCTGCAGCACCAGCGACAGCAAATCACCCGCAATGAAAATGTGTGTATACCGCGCCGGTCGGAGGCGCGACCACGACTCGCCAAAGCTAATGACGAGATACTTGAGTGTTAGGTAGATGGCGGCGGAGATGAAGGCGGGCGAAATGATGAGGCAGCAGATTTGCATCTGGAACCCCGTGGTGTCGAATGGGTTGTTCCACATTATGATTCGACCTGCGTAACCCACTGCCTCGCCTACACACCCCAGACTCATGGCAACCTGCAACCGATACTGTTAGCCATGTTCATGTGTACTACTAGTAAATCAAAGAAGGACGCCTACCATATAGGTCCATGTCTTGTATCGGACTCCCAGCCCAAGGTTGATGATAGCAAAAAGGGCAAAGAAGCCCGCATATGCGGCGTTGGCACCGATGTCGGGATAGTATCCTAGAATGGTGCCCTCGACTGGGCAATCTGGGCCAACCTGTGTGCATGTATCGGGTGCTGGAGGTGGAATCACCATGATGAAACTTGATGTGTTTGGTTTGGAAGAGAAGTTGTTTGTATTGTTTGGAAGGAGGCAAGACGGCTCGATTATCCGTTGATGGTTTGGTTGTAGTGTGGATGACTAGTCGAAGAGCGGAACGTCTGAGTTCCTTATATCTCATCTTATTGTTTCTCCACGGTCAAATACATGGATGAATACTTCAGCAAAGTTGCGCCTTCGGCCTAACTTTCGCCCTGCTCAGCGGCAGTGCAAGAGGTGCAAATCCGCCGGCGCTGACAAGAACATCAATCTCCGAGCACCAACACATGCAACTGGTAGTATGACGTTTGGAACAGTTCACAACTCCGACCGAAAAGGGTTTAACGGAACTTTCGGCCGCCAAGCCATCCGATCTCGGGCCTACTTATTCAAGATAAGCATCAGATGTACACGTAGTAGATTGCGGGCGAAGCACTTTCTAGCATGACAAGCAATTTGCCGAGCAAGACTTGAAGGGCAATCTTGTGTAGTCTGTAGCGTAGGTGTAGGTATAGTAGGTAAGGCGAAGGTGGGGACCATGTAATTGCATCCACCATGTACTATCCCCAAACCTCGATAGTGGGAGTAGTAAACAAGCAACACGGGCGCCGAGGACAAGCAATGAACGCATAGCATGTTTGTTGATCTAGACATGTAAGAAACAATCAGCTGTCTGCTTATTTTGAGACACGTCATAACGTGCCGATACGTAGCGTGTAGACTGTTGCTCGTAACTTGAGGACCCCACAGCCAATTCCTGCAGCTGTCCCATGCTTGGTAGAGCACAGTCCCTTTGGCTAGCTTCTGCGCTGTCACCTAACAGCAGATCATACTATGCATTTACTTGTTGTTGCTGCTACTTACAGCAAGTGCTACACTTCCCACGCGTCTGCCATACGCTCGCGTCATACACACGAGGCCACAACTGTTGGAACTGAGTCACTCTATCCATAGCCAGGGCACCCTCGTGCTCCCGTTGACATTCATTGACGTGGAGAGAGCTGTGTTTGATGTGTTGAGGCGCAGACCGCCATAGCAATCATGGTGTTGTGCAAGCTCGGTGCTTCGGCCTCCCTTTTCCGCCCCACTCCCGGCTGCATCCGAGAGTCCGTATCAACAATCTTTTACCCAACAACCTCCCCAGCCTCAAGCTTGCGCGGAAGTCATGGGCTTGTCTCCCGAATTCCCTGCCCGGTCTCCTTGGACACCACAAGAACAACAGGCCACCTTGTTTATTTCTGCTCCGTCGAGTTCACAGCTGAGGGAACAGGTTCACCTATCGTCTGGCCGTTGGTTGAGGAGATCAGCATGGTAAGTACCGAACGAAGCCCCAGCACCGTTCAATTGCCGTTGCTACGCTAAGCGCCGTGGCCTTTGTTGATCGGCCGGCCCGCACGTTACTCTCCAATGACGCTGTGTTTCCTGCATGCTTACTTCCACACGGCGCATCGGTCGGACCTCTCAAGTCCGGTCGAGTTGCAAATAGAAACTCCGCGGTGGAAATCGGGACACCATACAAGCAGGTCACGCCCTCACTCAAAGCTATCGGCATGATATTTGCATGCATTGGACTGCCGGGAAATACTTGCCAACAGCTCCTTCCGACCAGCCACGTCTGGTGCAGGGATCAGTTGTGAACCTTTACCAACGAATTCTGGATGCATACCCTCGCAGGGAATGACTTGCCATCTGTGCCACCCAGCTCCAGAAGAAGCAATACAAGACACAGCCAAGTACGCATCGGAAACGTCGCCACGTGCAGCTCTCGCGTAGCACCTATCGAGACGCATCACATCATCCGTCTTTGCACGCCTGCTAACTTCTTTCAACTGACCCACGAGAAAAGGTACAGCATTCTGGTCTTCACAGGTTGTCCGTAAAGAACAAGCATGACGACACCGGCTCTCCCATCCATGTCCGAAATCTACTAGAAATAGTAAGCGAGTCGGTACCGAGATCTACGTTACTACGCTTGACCTGTCTGGACAAGCCGCACTAGCCTGTTCCTAGCCTAGGCGCACTAACACAGCATTCTCCTAATGCATCCTGCGACTACGCTTTTTGTTTTGCAGACATGGTGCACGACCGTGTCGCACTGGGAAAGGGGGCTATCTGCAATCGACGGTCCAGATAGTCGGCTACAATCCTCAAATCTAGCCGTACCCTATGTATCAGCACCAACGCTCTGGACTGGAATTCATCTGTCTTCGAAATCTCCATCATGGCTGGGGTTAGTATCAGGCTGTCTCTGGACCCACAAGGCAACTAAGTATAACTCAGCCGATCTCTCCTAGTGATGCGATCCGATTTGGCCACGCGATCTGGCCATTGCGGGCACACACAGACGGCCCTCTTAGGCACGGCTACCCGCTTTGTCTAGTAGATCCTCGCCGCCCCCCCCGTCCAGGGGTACGTGGTTTAGAAGTATTGATTGTGCGTGAATAACACTCGTCCTGGCGGTCTCAGGTTCAAGGGCAAAGACATCAGTTGTTTCTTGCGGGAACCCCCGCGTCGGTACTTATATTGCCTCCTGACAGCCCTGCTCTGGAATGTTCTCCTGCGTCGTGCTATTGCCATCCTCCCCAAAATACCATGCATATTACTCGGGCTGCATGCCTCTTAGTGTGCGCCGCTGTGGCGTATGCTAAGACTGTTAGCTACGACTTTACTATCGGCTATGTGACGGTAAGTGACTCTTTAGTTACCAGGATTAGCGAGATTACATCGCCTCCCTTCCCGGTCTACACAGCTTTACGCATACTGATAGGGTACAGGCCGCCCCTGATGGCTTCTCTCGGCAAGTCATAGGGATTAATGGTAAATGGCCCATCCCCACTATTGAGTGTGATGTGGGCGACACCTTGGTCATCACTGTGCACAATGGACTTCCAGATCAAACTACATCTCTTCATTTCCACGGCATCTGGCAGACTGGCACACAAGTCTCCGACGGACCTAGTGGCATTACACAATGTCCTATCCGGCCTGGGCAATCGTATACCTACACATTCGTCGCGAATCCTGCTGGCACTCACTGGTACCATGCACATGAAAAGGGCCAATATCCAGATGGTCTCCGAGGTAAAATGATTGTGCACGACAGGGCCTGGGAGAAGACGTTGGGAATCGATAAGCAGATCTTCTTGTCAATGTCTGATTGGTGAGTAGCTCGAAACTGGTACAAACAACATGGCTTACATACGGCAGGTTCCATCGCTCTATGCCAGAGTTGATTGATGAATACATGAGTCCGGATAATACCGACGCAAGATTTGACTCGCCCAACGCTTTCCTCTTCAATGACTCTAACAAGCCTTTTGACCTCAAACTGGCCAAGGGTAAAAAGTACTTGCTCCGCATCGTCAACACTGCGGCAGTTGCGTGTGGCCAATTCCACATGGACAACTACACGCTTTCTGTCGTCGAGGTTGATGGTGTTCAGGTACAGCCCCAGGAAACTGATCGAATTTTGATTTGTGCTGGCCAGAGTTACGGTGTAGTGGTCAAGGGCCAAGAAGATCCAAAAGGCGCGTCCAACTGGCATGCGTCCATGGACACAGACATGCTTCCTGGCCCTGCTCCTCCAAAGGACGATATTTCCGTGATTGGAAGAATCGTCTATGACGTGATGCAAGAGGTTGAAGCGATTGAAAGGGAACTACCCAACATTGCTCGCGCCGAAACCCGCGTACTCGATGACTTCCATGTGAAGCCACTAGACGGTCAGAAGCTGCTGGGACCCGTGAACAACCGAATCGATTTCACAACCAATCAGACTTACTTTGAGGGAATCGGGACGCGGACGCCTCTCAATGCTGATCCTTGGGTTGCTCCCAAGGTTCCTACACTTTACACTGCCTTGACGACTGGCAGCATGGACCCGGCAACATACGGCCCTGGGGTCAATCCCTGGATCATCCAATCCGGAGAAATCGTCCAGATCCACATGAACAATCCCCACGGACGACCACACCCCATGCACCTCCACGGCCACGTCTTCCAAGTTGTTGCCAAAGGTGCTGGTACTTGGGACGGTCAAGAAGGCGGCTTCCCCGAAGTGCCCTCGAAGCGCGACGGACTCGTCGTCCCAGCAAATGGACACGCCGTTATCCGCTTCAAAGCCGACAACCCCGGTGTATGGTTCTTCCACTGCCACGTCGATTTCCACGCTGTCGGCGGCATGGCTGCCACCATCATCGAGTCGCCAAATCTCCTCCAAGGCTCTGTTCCTGAGGCTGGCAAGGCGCTCTGTGACGCTGGTGGCATGCCCTCGAGCGGCAACTGTGCGGGCGAGTCATTTAAAATCACAGCATCAGAGGCACGTGACAAGTGCAATACCGTTCATAACACAAAGGTCCGGGCCGCGAAGCTCTGGTAAGTCAGCGGGTATCTGGTTATGCCCGTCTCCTTTGCAATTTTTTTTGCAATTTACTTTTTGTTCATAGAAAAATCTGTACTTCTGATTCTTTTATTTTTTATTCCCTATTTTTTTTTCTCTTTCTCTCTCTCTTTCATCATCATCGCTTCTAGCTTAAGAAACGAAAAACGGTTATTAATAATAGAAATCTTAAACCACGACCTTTTATCGTGTCTTGTTGTCAGAAGGAAAACCATCTCAAAGTATCATGAATGAGAATGGTCCTTTCCACACCCACATCCTCCCTCCTCCTCCTCCTCCTCCTTCTTCTTCATCAACCCCACCCTCCTCTTCCACGCCCAACTCCCCTCGGGATCCCTCACCATCTTCCTCGTCGCCAAGACATCGCGATCCGCCCACCCCTTATCCAACAGCGTAAGTTCCAAACTCTTCCTTGCATACCTCACCGCCTCCCACTTGAGGCCAAAACTCGCATGCACCTCTGCCGCATGCTGATACGCCGTGGCCAGCCCCGCATGCAGCCGCTCCTGCTCATACAAACTCACCAGCAGCTCCGCCAGCGCGGGCGTCGCCTGCGACGTGTTGGTCCAGTCATTCAGCGTCTTCTGCACCGCTTCAATCTGCAGAATCCGCGCGTCAGACTCGGCAGTCACAAGCGGGTGCGCACTGCACGCCGAGCACGCACACGTGAAGCCCCAGTTTGTGCGCAGGCGTCCCATGCGCTGCACGCGCGTCACTTCGTTGTTGATGTACGTGATTGTGATTTCCTCGCCCGGGTAGATGGGCCGGATGGCGTGCACGTAGTGCGTCATGGTGTCTTGGTCGAAGAAGTAGGCCGCGTTGGGCCGGCAGTCGTGGTTCATCATGGCGATTTCGGGGAACAGCCCCGTCAGCGTTGTGCCCGACACCGTCAGCTCGAAGTAGTTTGTCGTGAGCCGGTCGTCGAGGGCGTCGTCTTGGCCCGGTGCCGAGCGGCCCATTAGCATCCAGAAGAGAGATTGCGTGTGGGGTGGCAGGGTGTCGACGGCGCGGTAGAGCAGGGCGAGACGTTCGGCCTCGGCGAGCTCGTCGAGGTCGACATCGGTGATTAGGATGGGGGTTGAGGCGAGGATTTGGTCCCCGCGGTTGAGCGTTTTGTTGGCGATGAGGCCACGGCCTTTGCCGGGGAATTCGTGTTGGTAGAAAGGTGGGTTTTGGTAGTTGTTGCTGCGTTGGAGGGAGGCTGGGTCGGTGAATGCGTGGTTTTCTAGTATCGAGTAGGCGGTTGTTTTGGTGGTGACGATTGATATGCCTCGTCCGGATGCGAAGGTGGCGTTGGTGAAGACGCAAAAGGGGTTTGCGGCGTCGTCGTTGTCGTTGGGAGTGAAGCATTCGGGCCAAAAGGACCAGGGGAAGTTTTTAGTTTGTGAGGCTAATTTTCGTGCGTCTTCCAGCGAATTTGTGAACGGCGCAATTTTTGTAGTGTTTGATTCGAAAGTCGGCGCCGGCGTGGCCAAGGTAACTTGCGCTGAGGGCCGGCATTCTTCGTTGTGAAGGATAAAGTTTGCAGGGCAAACATTGTGTAAGAGAGGCTGTTGTGCAACGAATCCGATATGTGCGTTAGAGGATGCTAGAGCTCCGCCCAGGGCGCTCAATCCGATGATTGATTTCATTTTTTTGAGGGGTTGAAACAAATCTTGAGAAAGAATGAAGATGGCAAAAAAAAAATTGGGAAGACGAGACACAACATAAGTACTGTCGACCTGACTATATCAGAGGGGATCTTTAGCCGAAGCGATTGAAACGCAAAACGATTGCGGACGAGGAGATGAAACATAATCGTGAGACGGTCCGCCGCTTCCCCACACCGCGAACCCAAATGGTAGGGCTCTATCGCGCCATCACTGTGACGTTTTGGGTGTGAAGACCATGGGTGGTTTTCGCGTGGTTCCGTGGATGTGAAGATCTCCAACTACGCAACGTCAGTCTTGTCAACGCTTTGGACAGCCGCTTTCTTTGGTTAAGCATTCAGACGTCATACTGCTCAGAGCCATGCTCCCTGAATTTTCATATACATGTGCATACGAGACAAAAGTGATAGCCGTTGATTGGAAAAAGCCGGGGTAAGGAGGGGTTGCGGGGTGGGGCCGCGAGGCTGAAACACATGTGTGATTGCCCCTGGGAAAGACACACTTTGTTCCGGATCACAGCCACACTCATTTACAGGAAGTAACATACATTGTTTTCATTCTCAGTACCTTTTTCTATTCATCTAGTATAAGATGAGATGACTAATTGTAGTTTGCCGAAAATATTGTGCACTTGAATGGACAGCAACAGCGCGTTAGTACTCCATGGCCTCTTCAAACAGACCCCGCAGTTGCTCCCTCTCCGCATCCACATTCTGTGTCTCCAGGGTCGGTGCCAACATTAATACTCTTGCCTGGGGAATTGTGCCTTCAACCAATTGGTCCAAATGCTCTGAGCCAAAGCCAAGTGCCTTCAGACCTCGGGGTTGGTCGCCGAGCTTAATCAAGAACTCTGCCAATGCTTCACTCAATACCTCCCCAGCACTCTCTGCCTTGACGTTTGAGATGTCTACGCCAAAGGCTTCGGCTGCGGCCAAGTGACGCTCTGGGTTCGATGCGGCGGTAAATTTGAATACTGCCGGTGCTGTTACTGCGACACTCACTCCGTGCGGAATGATGGTGTGGTCAACCTCGTAGCCGGCGTGTTTGTACCCTGGGTTCTGACCTGAAATAGGATACGACATTCCGTGGCACAGATGGACACCTGCGTTGCCGAAACCAACACCTGCAAGGGTTGCAGCCAAGAGCATCTGTGATTGAGCCTCATGGTCTTCTGGATCTTTGACTGCACGCGGCAGGTACTTGACAGTATCCCTCAGAGCCTTGAGAGAAAATATGTCGGAAATGGGATTCGCGCCTTGATATGCGGGACGGTTGATGGGGTTAGTAGGTCGGGGAGTGCGCTCATTGTATGGTATCGCGGTCCAAGATTCCAGAGAGTGACAGAGGACATCAAGACCCGAAGACGCATGAACAGCCGATGGCATAGTGCGCGTGTTTATCGGGTCTACTACTCCGATAGTGGGCTTCAGGTTACGATGTGCAATGCCAGTCTTTGCCCGCTTGGAAACCAGATCGAAGATTGCGGTACCAGTAGTCTCAGAACCAGTCCCTGCAGTTGTAGGGACTGCGATGAGGGGAAAGAGTTTCGAAGGAATAGGCAATCCCTTGCCCAGTGGTGCGTTGACAAAGTCCAGGAAGTCTGCTTCGGGAAAGGTGGTGTAGAGATTCATCAGCTTCGCAGTGTCAATCACACTACCTCCACCAACAGCCAGGAAAGAATCAGGCCTCCATGGCTTTGCAAAATTAATGGCTTCCCTTATGCTATGGTCCTTTGGCTCTACCCTGACCTTGTCGAAGATCTCATATGTTACGCCCTCGCGCTCGAGTCCCTCAATGACTTGCTTCATTGCATCCAGCTTTCCTACAGTTTGGTCTGTGACCACCATGACACGCTTGCTGCCCATGTTCTTAAAGTCCATACCGACTTCCTTTGTACATCCCGGCCCAAACCGAATGCTCGATGCTGCCATCTCGAATGCATATTCCTTTTGTTGTGAATGGTCTAGCGGTGTGGCGAGATGTCGGCGTGCTTGCTGGACAGTGGCCGGCGATTGATGGTAGTTGGGGTTCGAATGGCAAGGGCATGATGGAGGATGCGTGTATTGTACGGTTCGGAGAAGATTGAGAGCCCTTGCTGCACGCGAAGGAGCAATGCGAATCGCCGGTGATATTGGCATTGCTAGGGACAGGAGTAGCGACGCTGATCGGGTGTGGGGAAATGCGGGGAGGTGGAGGTGGTGCGGATGGAAGTGGGCACGCGACAATTGCTCAGAGCAGCAATTGAGACAGCGCAAGGCCTTTGGGGGATTCGCTTTTAAACCCACTACTATCGGAAGAAAGGCAATACAGGAATGAAGGTGTTGCGTAATCCTATGCTTGCTGTTGCGTTTGCACCCCGGCCGACCAGGCTCGATGTGGCATTCCGAGATGTGGGCTAGTAATCCAGCTCAATTGACAGCGGCTCTGGCGGAACTGAAATAGCCGGACAACACAAAACCACCATCAAAAGTAGCCACTTTGAACGCTAAATATCAGCACAACAACAACGTTAAAATATATATGTATAATACACAAAATAAAGCGCTATATACAAAGGTACAGCTACGTATTAAGTTGATCAAGTGGTAAAACGCTAAGAAACTAGCCCTTTCGCTTGCCTGAGATNTACAAAGGTACAGCTGCGTGTTGAGTTGATCAAGTGGTAAAACGCTAAGAAACTAGCCCTTTCGCTTGCCTGAGATATCCGGCCATTTCGGTTCCGCGAGAGTCCGGATATTACTATAATAGCTACTGTGCCTCATTCCTGCGTCGTGGACCCTCCACTCGCGTGTATGGCGCCGATGCTACCGCTACAGTGGATACATCGTACCGGATATGCAGGGCCTTGACCCAACGTCAGACATCCTGTCGACGAGCTTTGAAGAAGAACCTTGGTTTATGCTCAACTCACACTACCAGCACTACAAGGCATGCATCATTGAAACATCACTCCAGATACCAACAACTATGTGGAAGTTCCATGGCTCTTCTGTGAGGCTGAAAATGCGCGACATTCGAAGTACAAAGAATTGCTCAGTGCTAATGAAACCGTTGAAGGCGCTGGTTACTTGCACTGGCAACTGACCCTTACCGACAGAAATAGAGGGGTTAGAAAGTTAAATTCTGAATGCGCGCTTACAACAATCTACTTACCTTACGGCCATTTTGCAAGCCGCTACATCTTCCTTCAACGCCGAGATATGTCTTTCAGTCCCTCGGGTTCGGAGCCACATGACAACGTGGCTGTTGAGATTTTGTCAGCTATGGTAGGGTCCGCTAATCTGAAAGGGCGTTTCCCAGTGTTGGGGCATAAGAGAATGAGCAAGCCCCAAATACCAACATCACGGACATCCTAGAACTGCCTGGGTTCTCTATTGGCCTATAAGATGCGGCCGGTTAGCGTGTGATCACAATGTTTATCGGTCTGCACTCCTGTACGTTGCGAAGACGCCTGGGCGCCTAAGGCTTTCAACAAACTACCAATCATGGTGTGCTATGCAAACGGGTCGTCTCCGTTTTCGCACCCTAGAGTGCCCTAGACTGCTGCGCATGCGCAAAGTCGCGAACGAAGCACATTCACTGTGTCGGCGAAGCTCTTCGGACGTTTCGGATGAGTGGTGCGCCATAGCATACTGAGTAGGTGTTGTGTACGGGAGGCTTTTATTGCTCAAGTTGACTTTACAACAATACGGCCGAAATGCCACAGCCTTCATATCAGCCTGCAACACGGCTTTCGTTGGCGTATCACCGTCACAAACGCAAGGTAGTAACAAAATCGCTGGGCGTATAGTGCGGCATATGCCAGGATGTTCGATGTTGTCGGGAACGATTGGAACCAGGGCTACCAACAATGGATGAACATCAATCCTAGGAGGTTGGACCGATGCGTGCTAGAAGACACAAGGCGGCCAGCCGGTCATCAGGCCAGGGCGGTTAATCCTGCCCGTCCACTGGGTAATTCAAGCTACAATCTGAGCTATACTGATCTAGCACAGACCTCCGGACGGAAGCAGTTCGCTTGCACCCATACTTCTCGTAGCCATTTCTGGCTTACCCTCAAAACTCATCCCAGCCATTCACTCCCCACCTGAGTGCCCGCATCTGCAGGTTGCAGCGACGATGCAGTGTGGTCTGTGCCTGATGTAGTTTCACGATGACAGCCAGTTATTGTGCTACTGTGCGCCAGGCGCAACGATATGGCTGAATGGACCTGGCGTTAGCATTCGTCTTTGTCATGGCGCATTCAACGAGGCACGGCATGTGCAATGGTACTGACCCCACGGGGCGCAGATCCCAACCTTGTGAACAACCCATGCCCCAGCCGTGCTGACGGAAAGGATATGATACGTCTTGCCCCCTTCCTGTTAGGCTCATCACGTCTTTCATTTCCTTTTCTTGCAGTCTTTCCTTGTGTAGTATGATACCCCGGGTTTCGTTGTGAAGTGTCGCCGAAGTGGTCCCCTTAAACTCCCCAGCAATGACCGTTCAGCTACGTATCAGCAGTTCAAAGGAACAACGACCTACCATCTACAGAGGCAACACACGGCGTCTGCTACGTCTCAGCGACGTACCAGACTCACCTACGTCATCTGGAACTGTCTGTGAGGCTGTCGAGTCGGATGGGCGAGCGTGCTGGGTCGCGCTCAAAGAGAGCGCGGGCGACATTTGGTGCTATCAACACCATGACGAATGGAGGCAGTTGAACATATGTTGGGCCAAGATCCATACGGATGCGGAAAGAATGGCAGTAACAGGATTGGATGCTGGAAAACAAAAGATTCTAAAGTTGCGCCAGTCTGTGGATCTCAGGCGAGAAATTCAGGAGCGATTCTACCCCCGCGGTGGTGATATCCAAGACTACATCAAGTGGATCAACAAAATGGAAAATGACGTGAGGCAGCTAGCAGACTCTTTGTTAAGTCAGTCGCATTCTTCATACGTGCAAGAATCTCCGCTAACACACGACAGTGGCGAACCTCAACCGCCGCCCGACCCCAGAGACCCCAGGTATCCATACACCTTCGCCTCATCCGAACAACAAAAAGCAGGGCGAGAAGATCATGATTCTGCGCTCGCCACTAGACCCCCGGATACCTATCAACTCTCTAGACGGCTTACCTGACGATGGGACTATTCTTGTGCTGAAGCACTTTTATCAAGACCTCTGCGCCGATAGCATTCGTCGGTTGTACGCTATCGTTCCTGATTTAGACGATTCAAAAAACTACCCCAACTCACCTGGGACGGACGATGATATTTTGCTCGACGCTGGTACGGAGATAATTCGGGCTTGGTTCCGCATCATGGTCTTGAACGACAGTGAAGCTGGAACACTGGAGCATGCGACAAGGTCCAAGAGCATAAGCGAGTTTCTTATGGGCTGCCAAGCCAGTCAGCTTGAGATGTACTGTGATTTTTTCGAAAAGGCATGGCGTCCACATGCGGTTCAGTATCTCCGTGTGGCGATTTGTGCACAAACACTGGCTGGGGGTGACATCAAGACGATCCGGCTGCTCGGTGGTACAATACCAAGCACTACTGAGGGTCTGAGAATGACCAAGCCTTGCTGGGACATTCTGTAAGTTCTGTGCAAATTCAAACGGATCTTGCTGACCTATCTGAAGGTACCGATGGTTCCCTACGTTGCTCACTCCATGGACCATTGCTAGCATATGCTCCAACTTCGAGGATTACACCACCATATGCAAACTCCTCATGCTGAAGTTGTATAATGACTATTGGCATGACCCAAATAGCATACTGGGTGAATGCGCCACTGGTGTGTATATGGGCTTTATACCTATGAACAAGGGAGATTTCACATCAAGCACGGGACTGAAGCAAGAAGATAACGTCTGGGTCCAACGTCAATCACGCAACTATCTGTGTGGGCAAATGGCGATAGGTCATCCTATGACTAAGGCATTCTTAGATGAGCTTCGCAAGCGAACTGCCTCTTTGTATCTTGTTGTATACGAGGGCACACATGCCGACGCAACTGTTCACCCGACTGAGCCGGATCTGTTCATCAGCCGATACCGCACAGCTGCCAACCTGGACGAGCTGGACACGGCCGACTTCACCACAACTCTTACGCTTGAAGAGATCAAGAACGAGCTGCGCATGCGGAAGAACTCCATGTATGACCCTATCGTGGTCGACTCTTGGCAGTTCATTATCATTGATCGGGAGGTTGGATTACCGTTTCGACTAATAGACATCGTGCAGGACACGCTGTTCATGCTCGCCGGGGACCCTTCGCCTCGACAGATGGCCAAGCGCGTCATCCGTGAGGTGATCCCGCCCTCGATTCAGGAAATGTACCTCGAAAAGATGAAGATAGAGTGCTCTTCCGAGTTGCGCTATCCACCGCCTGGTGAAATCCAGCATGAAGGAAACAGATGGCGAACATTTGACCCAGATCCGAACATAATCGCTGCGAAGCAAAATACAACAACGCTGCAAAACATTTCGCGCGATGACAATCGCTTCATCCGGCGCTTCGTAGAAGACCTGGAACGCTACGGCATCGTCAGTCTCGTTCCCGAGTACGAAGAACCGCAAACTAGACCCATCATCGTACAAGGCGCAGACGGCGCACCAGACCTGTACTTTCCATACCAAGAAGACGCCACAAAAGCCCAAGGCGAGCGCGCACCAACACTCCATCTCCCACCGCGAACATGTCTGTCAGACTTTGCGCAAGCATACCGAAAAAAGCACCCAAATGCCATCATGGCAAAAGGCTCCATCCAGACACACTACTGCGCCTGGCCCATGCCCGCCATCAAAAGTCTAGGTAAAACGGGGCTCAACTTCGCTACATGGGAAGGCCACGTCTATCGCTGGAATGCCATGCGTAAGTCTCTTCATTTCCTTTCCTGTTCGAAAACCCTACATCTACTTACAGTGGGTTTTTTTTTTCCTTATATAGCATTTGACCGCCCTTCCTCTGCAAACGCGTGGCAATATTACATCCAACACTTCCTAAACTCAAAGTACCCTTTCGTCATGTTCTACCTCACCACTTTTGTCATTTGCGCTACGGACAAGGACGACGCCGAGCGCAAAATGGTTGTGCTGCTCGATGAGATGGAAGATAGGGGGTGGCGGGTTATGCTGCCGAGACCGCATGAGTGGACGGGGGATGTGGAGGGGCTTGGGTTGGATACTTTGTATAATGGGATTAAGCCGGCGTAGGAGTAGATGGATGAGCGTGGGTTCGGAATGTTGTCGGAGTTTCTGAGGCTTGTATCTGGGTTTTACGTTATGATGCGATTATATGTCGGCATTTTGTCAACATGTACAATCGGCGGCATCTTATGGGTTTTCAGGTTTTGGGGCATTTAGCGGTGTTGCATACCCCCCTTTTTTTTTCTAGTTTTGTGCTTTTGTATTCAATACGATGTCATTTTTCAGGTCTTTTCCTTCACGATTTCCGTACCAACCACTCCAGCTCCTCTGCCTGTTCTGGAGTAACAATCTTCCTGAACCCTTCCAGCGTCAAGAAATCATGGTCCGAATACTCGAAACCTGGGATGACAGTCTAGATATCTAGCGGTCAGCTTTGTCATATCTTCACTTCCATCTTTACTAGTGAAGAAGAAGGGAAAAAAAAAGAGCAGAAAGGAAAAGAAACAAACTCACCTCACTAATCAACAACCTCTCCCCCTCGGCGCCCTCTTCCAAAAAACTAGCCTTATACTTCCCCCCCTCAACAACCCACACACTCCTTTCCCCCGCCGCAAAATCCATACCTACCACAAAACTCTCCACACGCTTCTGCGCGCCCGGTTCATCAGCGTGGATGAGAACGTAGCGACCGCGTCCCGAAATGAGCGTGTGAACCTGACAATTTTGATTTTATTTTTTAGCTGACCTCACTTTTGACAAAAGGCACGTTTATTCCAGAATCTGTTTTTTTAGGGAGGGGGGGGTGGGGGATTTAGGAAAGAGCGAGGATATAAAAGAAAAAAAAAGAATGAGAATCATACATACCGTCCTCCCCTTATTCCTATGAAACTTGCCCATGGGCTGCGCCTTTGAGAGCATGTAATAAATACTCGTACTTGCATTTCTCACCGTGTCATCGCCTGATGCTGGTTTCTCTGCCGTCCGTTTTACCTCGTCTTTTCCTTGTGCGTCTCCGCTGTTAGGCTGCAAGAACGGGTTCGGAATAAGTAGAGGGTTTCGATCTAGTTCGGCAAAGTAGCCGCCTTCGATGTGTTTTTGGAGGTGGAGCGAAGAGATGAGGGATTGTGTGGTGGGGGATTCTTCTTCTTCTTCATCTCCTTGGGGTGCTGAAGAAGAGGAGGGGTAGATGGGGGTTAGTTTGGTTGAGAGGCCGGGGATGCTGCTGGGCATGATTTTCTGTTCTCCTCGTTTCTTTTTTTTTTAGAAGATACGATCTTTTGGTTTGGGTGACAGTTGGGTAGTGTATCCGGAAGTGAGGGGGGGCTAACGAGAAGGATTTAGGCATCTGGGTAAGGACATACGTGTTTACGTGATACGTTATTAATAAGAAAGAGGATAATGACGTCAGAATGTTAATTTGGATTTGACTTTAAATCTGGGACCTAAACAAGAATCTGGTTTAAATTTTTCTCAAGACGAAGAGAGAGAAAAAAAAACCACATGAGCATGCCTCATCCCATATCACGGGCTCCCAAGTGCTTTATTCTGAACTCTTGCAACCAAAATCCATGCTGTACTTTTTGGTAGGTCTCCTGAGAAACGCGTGCTTTCATCTGATTTCCTGAGCTTACCTAGCCTATTTCTTTTTTTGCTTGCCCATCTATTTCAAATCAACATTATTTCGCTGCAGTATCCCAACGCCCCAAAGTTGCAATCCAATCCACCCTTTACATTCACAACTAGAAAAGAATTACACAATAAGGCAAAGACGCACCGGAATACTTTATACAGAAGTTGAAATAAATGTAGAAAAAGAAACCCAGATGTAATTTCCAGGGGAGACTAAATGACCAGTATCGTCCACCCTGTATCCCTACTACTCCCGAGTGGGTGGCTACCACATGTCGTCATCAGCCGTCTTCGCTCCCTGGCCAGACTCGGCATAGTGACTGTAGCTACCGTTATTCGGCTGGCCCAAGTAGTTCTGGGCATTGGCGACACTGTATCCACCACTGCCACCACTGCCACCACCACCCCCATTTATGCTGTAGTTGGAATGATGTGAGTCGCGCGGGTTTTGGTTGTATGAGGCACCTTGAGAAGCACTTTTCTGATGGTTCCCATTTTGCTGGGGCTGCTGCGAGAAGCCATTTTCTTGCTGTTGAAGTACGCTGGGCCACTCCTGAGTCTTTTCTTGCTGCTCGTACTGTTGTTGCTGTTGTTGCTGTTGTTGTTGTTGCTGAATTTTTGTTAGTTGTATATTCTATAAATGTGAAGAAGACATTCATACCTGCTGGTACCGCTGGTATTGAGCAAACTCCTCTGGCTGTGTTTGCTGCTGCTGCTGCTGCTGCTGCTGAGGCGCTTGTTGTGGTTGCTGAGCGACTTGTTGCTGCTGCATCTGCAGCTGTTGCTGTTGTTCCTTCTTTTGCTGCGCCGCTTGCTGAGCCTGCTGGGCTTGTTGAGCCTGCTTTGCCTGCTTCGAGTTGCCAATGGAGATTTGCGGATGCATTTGCTGCACCTTTGCAAGATACGAGTACATAAAGTTACTTAGCAGAACCTGCGAATAGAGTTCACGACGGGGATTCGCGAGTTTGATATGAGCCATGCGGTAGATGGCACGTTCCTCGAGAATCGAAAACCGAGTCCAGTTGTAGTCAATGTCAGGCTTCAAGATGCGTACCGGGGGGTCTGGTGACAATCCGCGAGAGGAATTCTTTTTATGAGAAGACTCCTTCTCGCCCTTCTTCTTTCCACCTCCAAAAATGCTTGACAACAAACCATGTTCCTTCTCTTTCTTGCCATCGCCGGCAGTCTTCTTGGCGCTCTCCTTTTTGCGCTCCTCTTCCAGCTTGACACTTTCACGGTCCAATACCACGCTTTCGCGTCCACGGCCGCCGCCCTGAATGGATGTCTGCAACAGATCGAGTCTGGTGTCATCATGTCCTTTTTCTTGGGGCTTACTAAGCTTGTTTTTGGTCTTTTTGGCAATGTCCTTGTCCTTTTCATTCTTGTCCTTTTCCTTTTCCTTGTCACCACTAAACCACCCCCAGCTTGTTTTCCTGGGACCTTCGGAGCTATCCTTCTTGTCCTTTGACTTCTTTTCCAACTTCCTGTCATCAGGAGCGTTGGGAATAATTGACAAGGAATCCACCCGATTGCTGGTGCCAGGCATTGGTGATCCATGGCCTACTAGATCGTCCATTGATTGGGAGGGTTGGATAGGAGAGGCCTGTGCAGCTTGGGCATGGCGATTTTGTCGGCCTGCAGGGGGCTGGCGTTGTTGGTTCGAAGGCGGCTGTTGGGGCTGTGGATAGCTACGAGGACCAGCTGGCTGTTGTTGAGAAGGAGGTGGAAGTTGACGTGACGAGGAGCGTTCGGGTAGTTGAAACTGTGGTTGGTCTTGCTGAGGCGGCGTCTCGATAATCTGGGGCACCTGTTGTTGGGGAGGAACATATCCTGGCAGAGGTGCTGTTGTCCGGCCGTTGGAAGCAATTCTCGAATGGAAGCGTCTTGGCTGAGGGGATGATTTCTGCTCAGGAGAAGAAGCTGAACCAGGAGCTTCTTCTGCCGAGCCCGGTCTTTCAATGTTGGAAGTCGTGCGATTCGGCGGAGGAGGCCTTGAAAAGTTGTTGGACGACCCTTCAAACGCTGAGTTAACAGGTTCAGAGTGGGTACGGGAGAGAGGCAAGGGAGGGACTTCGGGTATGTTATCTGTAGACTGTACAGGCGAGGTAGAGGGTGAGTCTTCGGTATCCGTCTCGGCCTGTCGGCCGCTGACCAGCCGCCGCGAGAGGGCCGGGCCTCCCTTACGTATGCTGCCTCGTCTATAGGTCGTGCGTGTGGACCGCTTCAACGTTCCCATGCCACCCATTTTGCTACCCGGAACGATGGGCAAGTCTCCGTCATCACCCATCTCACCTTCGCCACCAAAGGTCTTGTGGTCAATGCTCATGCGCCTTATGAGTGACACGGGATCTTCTTGGATATTCTCTAGCTCCTGGAGGTTCTCCAGCCCTCTGTTGGATTTGGTGGCGCCAGAGCGTTTCCTCTCAAGCCTCTCGGCCCCATCCTTGTAGCCTGAACCAGTATCGATCTGTCTGGAGAGCATCGACTTCTTCCGGCGCAGCCCAGCTCCCGAACCCTGACGTCCGAGAGCAGCGTCTGGATTCAGCGAGTCGGCATCTCCCGAGCGGCGTCTGGTCTTGTCAATCTTGTCTTCAATGAACGTTTTGAACTCCATGGGTGCGAGTTCGGGGTGCAATCGGGCAGGGACCCAAAACAGCTTCGACTCGTCTTCTTCCGATACGGCGGGGGGCGACGGGGGCGAGTTGGCAGATTGAAACGAGGGCAGATCCGGGTCGGCACTGTTGACGCCCATGGACATGCGCCGGATGGCTTGCAGGTTACTCAGTTCCTGCGCAAGACCGGCAGGGCTCGACTCGTAGTCGAGATCATTGAGGGGAAACTGGTGCGAGGCGGTGCCCGAGTTTGAGCGAGACAGCGGAGGAGACATGTGGCCGCCGTTGGACGAGTCCCTGCCCACGGCAACCTTGTTTTGGGGCGCGTCGGAACCATTGTATGGGCTGGCTGGGGTAGCGGGGTGGTCGGAGGACAATTGGGGCCGCAGCGGGGACCTGGCCGGAGGGGCGTTGGGGAAGGGATCAAAGGCCTCAAAAGCACCAAACGACTGGATCGAATCGCCGTTGGGGCTGGGGATGAAGCTTAGGGGCCTCAGGCTGCGTCTGTTGGACTCGGTGTCGCTGTCTCCGCCGTAGAGGTCGCCGATGGCCTCGGTGACGTGATGGTTGTCATCGCTGATGGAAATCTGGGGCGCGTGGCCTCGGCGGGGCGGGTTCCGCATTTGGTAGAGGCGGTCCAGCTCTTGTGCTCGATCGGTTGCCTGTGGGAGAGCGAAACGTGGTCAGCTTGGGCGGTTGGATGGGCTGTGCGGACTTTTGCCGGGAGTGCAGTAGCAGCAGAACCAGCAGGAGCAGGCAATGCAGCATTCTCCTCGTGTGCTTCCGCCGATGCTACTCGCTGGGCGTGTGCAGTGCTGCACGCACGGCTGTGTCTGGCCTGGTGGGAGAGGCCGTGTGGGCGCTGGTCGGGCGGGCAGGGGAGACTCACCATATCGCGAGGGCTGCGGAGGACAAGGATGAGGGCGGGTGAGCGGGCTGGGTCTGCTGCCACGGCCTGGTTTGATTAGGGCAGCGCCGGGGCGGCGAGGACATCCACGGATAGCGAGCGACAGACAGAGGGATGGGCAAAGGCGTCGGACGTCTGGTAAGGCACAGCGGGAGCGACCATGGCCAGCAGGCAAGACAATGCGGTGCGGTCGTGGTCCCAGGTGCACACAGTTGTCAGGCAGGCCCAGGCTAGCGCCGCTTTGCGTTAGGAGCGTCTACCGCAGCGGAGAAGACCCGATCAAGGCCTGCCATGACTCGCCGTGCCCCAAGGGGGACGCTCTTCACCCATTGCTTTCTTCTGCTGCACTTGCTCTGCCCACACAGCCGCCGTCCGGGCTTGCATGTCCAGCATTGCCCGTCACCCTGCATGGCGGCGCCTCCTTGGGCGTGTCGCTCGTGGCAGCCAATCCGGTGTGTGCTGTGCACTACCCGCCGCGGGCTGCCCAGCCGCGTACAATACGGTACGCTACGCCTACGCCTACGCCCAAGTACATGATCGCCCTCGCGAGTCCACCACCACCACCATCATCATCATCATCATCACTACGCGCCAGCCGCCCGTCTTGCTGGTTCGTTGGCCGTCTAGCTGTCCCCCTTCTCTGGCAACTTGGAAAACAGTCTTTGATTCCTGCTTCACCGACAGGCTAGGAAGCCAACCAGCCTCCCGAGCACATTCAAGTGCGCCTCGCCAAGTACATGCCTCTGACTACACCCTACAGACGTACATCTCGGCACGCCCCAGCACATGCCGCACCATGTATACACGTACATGCCTATATGCCTACATACATACATACATACATGGTCAGGAATTACTATGCCGCTTCCAGACAAAAATAGCAGACGCAACTGCACATGTAACAGCCCCTAGTGCCAACGAAAGATTCAAGTAGTCGTACTCGTCTTCCTCCTGTTTGGGAAATGCAGTCGACGGGTGTGTCGCACTCTCAGCTAGCTGCCAAAAAAAGTGTCAGCTTCTCGCCCTTGTGTTACATAACGGGAAAGGGGGCTTACGTGAACAAACAACTCAGAGATACTGTTCCACTTGGCGCTGACATGTAGAGGCGGCGAC